ACAACAAAAAACACAGGATGATTGGATATGAATAACAACCAGTTTAAAAATAATTGTAAAAAAAACATCAAATCGTCAATCTAAAACAAAATATTTAACTCAGAAATGTACAACTTTTCTGAACAAACAAATGTGAACCTTTTGGCAGTCACTAACCTTAAGATAAAAACTTTCAATAAAATAAGTAAAGCTTCAAACTGATAAAAAAAAAAACAAAAAAGAAAAAATCACCAAACAAAGAAAAAATAACCAAACAATTGTTTCTAAAAATAACTTATTGTAAAGAACACTTAGAAAAAAGATCACAAACATGGTTATTCAATATACAAATAATATAATTATGAAAAAGACTTTTCATTTTAAAAAATTTTTTTTTTTTCAGTCTAATTATTGTAGCCAGATTCTTGCCCTGACTTAAATCAACTTGATACTAATCAGATCAAAAACACAATGGAAATACGTCATAAAAAACATTGAAAAAGTTATGTATACACAAAAAGCGAGACGTAAACGTGTAAAATATATATACAAAAATAACACGATAAGTTTTCACAACACAAAAGGAATGAACACATCATTATAATAATCATCCCTGGCTTTACACTTTACACATGATGCAAGCTGAATATCGTCACAATCACAAATGGTAGAAAGAAGAATACGCAATCAGATATATACATATACATGTACAATGATGTCTATAAAATCGGTCAATTTCAAGTGTAAATGCCATTTATATACTTGTAAGGCTATCCAAAGTGTCAAAATACAATTCTACACATGTTTTAAATTGTACCATTGAAATGAGTAACTAATATATTTATTAGTGTACTTTCAAAACCATGGAAATTAGTTACTAAGATGTCAAATCATTTTAGGCTTTTATTTTGGTTTTGGTTCTTATAATTCTATTTAAGTACAGGCATGTATTTTGGTTCGGGTTATAAAAATCCCTACCTTACTTTAGGCATATAATTTAATTCACTTAATATAAATTCCAAGCTAGTTTTAGACATATATTTTAGCAAGACATGTACTTTTCTTGTTTTTTTTCCTAACTTATTCTAGGCACGAATCTAACATTCACATCTGGACCCAAAAGTATCACAATTCAAATACAACTTTTCAAAAATAATTTCTTTCTATTTATCACTTAACAAAGGGAAATCAATCTAACAAACTTTACTTGAACAAGGGAGATTAATCTAACAAACTTAAATGTCATATAAAAATATGTTATAATTCTTTAATTTTTCAAATGTCTGACTAAAAAAAAATTTGTTTGGAAGACTTAACCTGTCATATCAAAGTGATGAATACAAGATTTAAAATATTTTGTGTGCAATATAAAAATGTTTGAGTGACAAGTGTCCATAATATTATGTCATGTTTAGAATGAGACCAAAGTACTTCAAAGCACAAATGCTGGCATGACAGTTGCGTATAACTTTAATTTGTATGCGATCTATTTGAAACAATTTGTGAATGACTGTTGAAAATGTGGAGATAAAAAATAAATCAAATTATGCAAGTTGTTGGAAAATAAAACATAGAACATGCTGCCAAAAAGCATTACACTAAACGTTTTCAGGACAAAAGCTAACATACTTAAAAATTCTTTAACAACAGTTATAAAGTAAATCCAAAAAAAAAAGTTTGGAAATTTTCAAAATTTCAAACAAGACAATATCTGACATTTCACACAACATTCAAAAGTAGCTCATAATTTGAGCAATTTCTTAGGAATCTTACTTATTTCTATTTCACTAATATGCCCTCAGGTATAATGATATGGAAAAAAAATGTTTTAATTATTAAATCAATTTTCAAAATAATTCTGGAATTTATTTAATATTTATTTCTTCTTCAAATCTTTGATAAATAACTATTTATTAGGTCATAGATTTGTCACATGATCAATATTGATTTGCTGATCAAGAGATCACATGACCAAAACCGATTGGCTAATCAAGAGATCACATGACCAAAACCGATTGGCTGATCAAGAGATCACATGACCAAAACCGATTGGCTTATCAAGAGATTACATGACCATTACCGATTGGCTGATCAAGAGATCACATGACCAAAACCGATTGGCTGATCAAGAGATCACATGACCAAAACTAAAGTCTCTGATTGGCTACCATCCCTCTGACTTCATCATCATTCTATTACTTTTCTTATTTGGTGTAGCAGTAGTAACTTCCCCATGCATGATGGCTGACATCTCAGAAGACTGGTTCTTGTTGTAATTATGTCTCGCCTCTGGCCGTGTACGCAATGGACTCGTCTGAGGTCGCCTGAAATTTAAGATGTATAGAAATTATGACATGTGCTGAAGAAAAGGTATTGAGATAATTGCTTTAAAAATATATATTTTTTCAAGTGGTAAAATTACATCAAGAGCTCAATGAATCTGTACATGCTGTATTGAACTGGTTTAACGATTTATTCCATCCGTATCAGAAACAGTCCAAATTGTAATTGATTACCTTCCCAAGGCTGCTGTGGGATCATATTACAGTATGTCAAAATAAACCTCTCATCAAAAGTAAGACATATCTATACACAATGATATACATGTGTATACACATACACACACCTTACAAAGATATTATAGCCAAAGATAAAGCTGTTAACAGGGGGCCAAAAAATATTAATGAAAAGTGTGACAGCAGGAAAAGATTGACAAGGGAAAATCAATATACCAGCCCCCAAGGTTTGGAGATTCTTTTCTTACCCTCTTAATACTAGGAGTCATATAACAAAATGCAATCCTTGGGATACAGATGACATACTGTATGTATAGGAAAAAATGGGTCAAAGACAGAAAAGGCCGGGTTGCATTTGTACACCAAATATCATGAGGCTGTGATGTTACGAAAAAAAATTTCCATTGACCCATTAATGTCGAAAATTTAATTCAGTACGGTATACAGGAAGTGGATGAGCTACACACCTTAAATCGAATCCCACAGTATGGGACCGTGTGTCAATGCTGTATGCCAAATATCAAGAGGCTGTGATTAGTAGTTTCTGAGAAAAATGTTACGAAAATTTCCTACCAGTGACCATAAATGTGAACAGGAAGTGGATGAGCTGCAGACTTGAAATCAAATCCCACAGTATGGGACCATGTGTCAATGCTGTATGCCAAATATCAAGAGGCTGTGATAAGTAGTTGCTGAGAAAACTGTTACGAAAATTTCCTACCATTGACCATTAATGTCGAAAAATCTAACTAATTTAACTAAGTGGATAAACAGGAAGTGGATGAGCGACAGACCTGAAATCCAATCCCACGGTATGGGACCATGTGTCAATGCTGTATGCCAAATATCAAGAGGCTGTGATAAGTAGTTGCTGAGAAAACTGTTACGAAAATTTCCTACCATTGACCATTAATGTCGAAAAATCTAACTAATTCAACTAAGTGGATTAACAGGAAGTGGATGAGTGACAGACCTGAAATCCAATCCCACGTATGGGACCATGTGTCAATGCTGTATGCCAAATATCAAGAGGTTGTGATAAGTAGTTGCTGAGAAAACTGTTACGAAAATTTCCTACCATTGACCATTAATGTCGAAAAATCTAACTAATTTAACTAAGTGGATAAACAGGAAGTGGATGAGCGACAGACCTGAAATCAAATCCCACAGTATGGGACCATGTGTCAATGCTGTATGCCAATTATCAAGAGGCTGTGATATGTAGTTGCTGAGAAAACTGTTACGAAAATTTCCTACCATTGACCATTAATGTCGAAAAATCTAACTAATTTAACTAAGTGGATAAACAGGAAGTGGATGAGCGACAGACCTGAAATCAAATCCCACGGTATGGGACCATGTGTCAATGCTGTATGCTAAATATCAAGAGGCTGTGATAAGTAGTTGCTGAGAAAACTGTTACGAAAATTTCCTACCATTGACCATTAATGTCGAAAAATCTAACTAATTTAACTAAGTGGATAAACAGGAAGTGGATAAGCGACAGACCTGAAATCGAATCCCACAGTATGGGACCATGTGTTGATGCTGTATACCAAATATCAAAAGGCTGTGATACATAGTTGCTGAGAAAACTGTTACGAAAATTTCCTACTATTGACCATTAATGCTGAAAATTTAAGTAGGTCAGCAAACAGGAAGTAGATGAGCGACAGACCTGAAATCGAATCCTACAGTATGGGACCATGAATTGATGCTGTATACCAAATATCACAAGGCTGTGATAAGTAGTTGCTGAGAAAACTGTTACGAAAGCTTTTTCCCCGCCCGGACGCCCGCCCGCCCACCGCCCAACATTCACCATACTATAACCCGGGTTTGCACCAATGCAACCCGGCCAAAAATTATTTTGTTGTTTTTTTTTTACTAGAATTTTGATAAATTAATCAAGATAATGGTTATAATTGAGCCGTGTCATGACAAAACCAACATTATGCGTTTGCGACCAGCATGGATCCAGACCAGCCTGCGCATCCGCGCAGTCTGATCAGGGTCCATGCTGTTCGCTTACAGACCCTAAAACAAGTAAAGAAACTAATAGCTAACACATGGATCCTGCGCGGATGCGCAGGCTGGTCTGGATCCATGCTGGTCGCAAACCCATTATGTTGGTTTTGTCGTGACACGGCTCATATATATTACTTACGGTGTAGCCGACTCCTGCATGTGAGCTTGAACTTTGGTGTCTCTCACAGTTGGTGGGTCTACATCGCCTCTCATCAAGTTACCCACAAATTCAGAATGTTGCTTATCGGCTATACCCTCAGCCTCCGGCCTCGTCCTAACAGCTGGAGGATCCTCATCCCAACTGTTAACATAAATTATATCATCATATAATTGATAAGATACTATACTGCTTTACTTGAGAAGGCTTTAATCAAAACTATTCAAACATCTATTCTACAGAAATTAATTAATGCATTAAATGAAATGTAATCTGTACATAATGATTTCATGTTGGTGATGAATATCACAACTTTAAACTTACATTCTGATGGAATTAACAACTGGGTAACTTAGGCAAAATAAGAAAATTAAAGAATCTGAAAAAACTTGTAATAAATAGTTTTCCATACAGTTATATAAACCAGAAAAAAGAAGATTTTTTTTTTTGGTGTTTAAAAATCTTGAAAATCAGAAATAGTAGTGAAAACTCTTAAACCCATGGGTAATGAAGACCTAAGTATCAAATAAAGTAAATCTATCATACAGAAAATTTCCTCTGATGAAAATGTGTCAAAACAAAATTTATTTTGTACGGAAAACAAAATATATCACTTTGTTTACATTTTCTACTTTTATAACAAAATCACTACTTTTTTAAGGTAACAAACATCTAGCATGCTCCAAAAAAATATTGAATATAAACTTTATAGAACACAAGTTTGCCCTTTCCATTGAAGTAAAAATTTACTTGTTTCTGAAGCATAATGTGCCTTTAAAATATCAGTTTTAACACAAAAACTTGTTATAATAAAGTAAGATATATACCCAGGTCCTTGTGAGGTCTGATGTAATCTTCCTATCTTTGGCTCGGCCTGTGTTGCCTCACCCTCCATACGTAACAATGGTCCCATTCCCGCACCCCGATATTTCTCCGCAACTTCCTCACCTCCGTAACTAACTTTCTGAGGTGGAGGTTGTTCCGGACTTAACTGTCCGTAATTGTTCATTATTTTATCCATCGTACCGTGATTCCTTTCGGCATACTCTTCTGCGTCCTGGCCGTGTACTTTATGAGTGGGTTTTTCGTCAAGAGATAAATGTCCGTAATTATCCATTAAATCCTTCATAGCTCCGCCTTTACTCTGATTTGCGATTTCCGCTGCGTCTCCTTTTACGGCACGTGGATGAACAACTCTTTGCATTGGGGGGTCGGCATAACCACCCATTATATTAGACATTGATCCTTTATTTAAATCCGCGTTTCTTTTTCCTTCCTCGGTCACAGCCCGACCGGCAGGCCTCGGCGACTCATAGGAATCTTCTCCGGTGTAATCAAACCATTTCTCCATGTTTCCCCTGTTTCTATCAGCATAGCCTGCAGCCTCAGCAGTGATGCGGGGGTGGGGTTTGGGGGTGGGGCTAGGTATATAGGTTCCATCTACAGTACTCATCTTTGATTTTTTTTTAAATATGTCAGAAGTCCACAAAACAAATAAATTCCAAAACTTCTACTTCACATTGGATTTACTATCTAAAAAAAGAAAGAAAAAAGATTTCTTATTAATTATTATTTGAGTGGTTTGGTTAACTTTATGTTTAGCAGAATCACAGATATCTGTGATAACCTTTCGATTTACAAAATTTAATGTAAAACTTCAGTCCTTAACATCCACTTGTTTAACATGTAATTATTAACATCCTCATCATTCTGATATTTGAAACAAAAATTAAAATTGTATACATAATACATAGCATACACATGTACAAATTTATTGCTGTAAATCCTTTGTCCACGCAAAAGGACATTAAAAATGTTACCCAAATGTAAGGGCGGAATTCCGTGACTAAGGTCAGACTTACAATATTACTTTCATGTTAAATTTCACCTAACACCATATTTTAAAGGACCTCAACTGACTAAGTATATCATTAGATATATTAATAACTTAGCAACACATTACACACACTGTTATTTAATACTTAACTTTACATAATCATTACAATCCAGCATAAAGTAGGCTATAAATTGACTTAAGTTTATACACCTAAATTAATAATACAGAATAGTTTAAAGGCACATTATTGGAACAATTTGACAAACATATTTAAATATTCTAGGGATAATCTTCATATCTGGAAAATAGATTTTTAATTTTCAACAGTTTTATAAATTTAGAAATGTTCAACAAATTTATTCTGTCTAAGGGCTATTTTTATTTTCTTTTAAATCGAGTTTCAAGTCGCACCAACACAATATAAATCATTTGGTGACTTTCCAGCTTTACTGGTGGAGGTACACCTCAGGTGCCTCTGTGTGCATTATCTCAGGCACAATCGGGCACCAGGTGAGTATAACCACCTGCCTTCCGTAAGCTACAATGTAGCTGGATAGGCCTATTTTTTATACAAAAAAAAAATTAATGTCAGACTTGCATGTATTTAATTCTTCTACTCTATATAATATCACATCAAAATAAAACAAAATCTTATTTTCTAATTAATTTACACAACATTGTGTCATTGGCTTCAAATTATACATCATTTACTTTGGAAATATATAATCATCTACTCTACTGGTTTACAGACAACTTAATAGCTTTTTACACTTTGCTTTAGTATTTCTAATCTAAAAATAAATATTCCAAAGCAGAATCCATTGGGTCTAATGGAAACTCATCTAGTTATCAAGTATATAAATTCAAGAACATGATATTTATTATTTTCACATGCAACCTCAATGAATAAAATCAATGCCAGCAAATATTTCTCATATGTGAATTGACCTTGTGATCAGTCTCTGTTTAAAGATCCTGTAACAGTTTTATATCATAAATATAATGCTCAAATGAAGATTTATCAATATTGTAAGTTTCAAAAAGCATTATTTGTAAAGATATTACTGAATTTACATTAATGATTTCATGTTAATAAAGAGTGGTAATTAGAAATTTATTTTCATAAAGTCTAAGTCAAATTTTTCAATAAGAAATGAATGCATATATTTCATTGATTACATAATTATAATGTGCACAAATATTTGCAGTACATATTTTACATATTCTTCGGTGTTAGATTAGTATTATTATATACAAATATAAAATTTCGTGGTAACAGCCTTAATTACAACATACAGGATCTTTAATATTATAAGCCTTCATGTAAAACAAGTATGTCTGGTTGAAATATCACATTACATGTACTTGAAAAAAAAAGATATCTGTTTTATCCATAGATGATACCAAAGGTTTTCTGGGGCAACTATAAACAAGAAAACTCCATGGTGCCTATCCAGCCCATTGGCACAAGCTGTGAAGGAATTTATTTTTTTGGCATATGGAATTTGGAATAAATCAAAATTGTTCTTCTTTCGTATAAATTTAGGTAGATATTTTAAGTCAATTAATACTAAGGTTGTAATATAAAAAAGCCTAAACTGTGAGATATTTGAATGTACATTTTTAAAATACATGTACATAAAACCAGGTTATGGACTTTAACAAAGTATTTTATGTCATTTCTGACCACTGACCACTGATTATAAACCTTGGAGCTATAATTATTGTTACAATACATTTCATACATGATGAAAATTTTAGCCTAGTCAGTTTAAAGGCCTGTCTCTGGGTTAATGACAAGAGCTAATGATGCAGACAAATTAATGGTGGGCACACCTTCACAAAATTATGCAAAACTTTCAGTTCACAGCAAATGGGTGTGACAGAATTACATAATATAATATAATATAATATAAAGCTTTCTTTTCTGGTTTGGGTTTAACTAGAAGCAATAGTAAGAAACTGTACAATCATGCTAAAATGGTAACTTTTCAACACTATTCATAACAGTCAACAGTAACGAAGTAAAATTATGAGAAAGTTTGCCCCCACAATCGTAAGGCAGGGCAGGGGAAACTCCAAAATAGTCCAAGAAAACAAGAAAGTAGGGTAAACAAAAAAGCATGGGAATTAGAAATAAGCTGAGTTATTAACTTCCACCTGTCCCTGCACTGTTTTGGCACACCAAAATAAATAGCGGGGGATGAAGGAGAGGCGTGAGGGTTGAGGGGTTCATCCCCCTATTGGGGGGCTCACAGAACTAAGGCATTTAGCAGTGATATTATCATCCAACGGTCTTCACCTGGCAATTTAAGGGTCAATTAAGGCCCCTGCTATTCTCCAGGTAAAAGGCATGGTTACAATCAACTACAAGGTGAATAATTCACAGGAATATGATCTGATTTGCATGAACCAATACAAGTTAAGCATTGTGTATTGACTGCTATTGATTTTGACCTCAACTGTGTGTACCAGCATTCCAATAGACTGAACATCATCTTGATCTCTATATGCACAACACTTGATATTTTCAAACACTGCATGATAAAATTACCTTCCAATTCATTGCATCCTTTATCACAATCACTAAAACTAATTCAAAGATGTTTATCTTCCATGTATTCCATCTAAACAATAATTTCCCATTACTTGTATCTTCCCTTTTAAGCTAGCGTGTTAAATTACAAAATTACGATTCAAATTATTTTTTTCTTTCTTTAAAAGCTTCTAGACTTTATAAATATTACATGACCTAGTGAAGAGACTTTGAACGCTTTAAAATTTGATAAAATACATTACTGTGTCGGAGCATTGATAAATGATATATTATTTTTAAAATCAATTAAATTATAATCGATGATCAAGTACATGTTAAAGAAAAGCACAGAATGGCAAAGTTTTATTTAAGCAGCATGCCTCCAGTTTCATACTAATTTTTCATGAAAATTTTAAAAATGTATTTAAAAGTAAAATTTTGCGAAGTGAACTTATATGCACAACACTTGCAATTCACATAAATTACCAAAAAGAGGTAAAAATTAGCAAAAGTAACCCTTGCTGTGTTAGCTTGGTTAGTAATGCATTAAAAATATGGTGATAAATAGTTTAAATACTACAAAAATCAGTCCTTAATTGCACAAGACATGTAAATTTAAATTTTAAATAATTACTTGAATCTTCTTACTTTTCTTTTTAAATCTTTGTTCATATTTTTTTCTCTTTCTTTAATTTTCTTGAAACATTTGGACTTATCTGGAGTCATGAAGCTTTAAAAGGATGAATAATCATAAATGTATACTGGAGGCATACAGCTTTAACTTTCTTAATCCTTTCTTATAATTTCCATTTATGTAACATCACCACAAAATTTTCACTAACTTGTTACACCTGTAAAACTTGGTCTTGAACAAGATAAAGGTTAAATATTGCACTAAAGTTACCTGAAGCATAGAAACTAAAATATTTCTACTTAAAAAAGGATAAAATATAAAAGCAAAGACTGTTACAAGTTATTGCAAATGTAAGACCTCACGTTACTTCTTTAAATCAAGGTTAAAGTGAATAATTTCCTACAAGTTTCAAATAAAAAAAAAACTTGACTTTATAGAAAGCTTAAGCTTAATAAGGCCACACAAAGTTAAAAGTTTCGTTTATCAGATTTTTTTTTCTAAAATGTTAATGTTTTTGTACAATAAAATCAGACATTTAAAAAGTCATTTTGTCAGCTTTGTGCAGTAACAGTTTAAATCCTTCTAAATTTAATAGGAGTTAACCAGTTATTGCACTAAGGTGACAATTTGGTTCTTTAATAATTTTTTTAACTATACTGTAATTTTGACACAAAAAGGCCTAATATAATGGGCCAGTTAAAAAAAAATTGTCAAAGGATAAAAAAATATTAATTTGGCGTAGCCTGTGACTATATATGAATGAAATGATCCAGAGCGTATTGGATGTCAGTTTTTAAATTAAGGTCACTGCAACATTGAACTTTACCTATCTACATAAAACTTTACAAAGGTCATCAAAAGGTCATGAATAAACTGCCCTGAGATGATAACATGAGGAAACAAGATAGAGTCCCCTTTTCCCTTGGAATGTTTGAATGCCTATTTAGCAATAGATGTACTTGTAGTAATAACTTGCTTGTATGGCCCTCAGAACAGAGCCTGCCAGACCTCAGCCTATTAATATCAATTAAAGCAAATTTCACCCCTTACCTACTAATGGATTCTCCCCGCTTAATTTGATAATGGACAAGTCTGGTAACATTAATTAAACTTATGATAATAAATCTTAAAACATTACAATTTTATAACTACATATATACAGTCTGTACCATGAATTAAGCAATAAACAATTTATTATGATGCATTATGGGTAAATATCGTAACATCAGATGATGCAGCCAATTAATTTTGTTGTGTCACACTGTCATGTCTCATGTCAAAAGACGACTTTTTACATACAAATGAACATTAGTCAGGGAGTCTAATTTAAAACAACCCGACTTTTCAGTAATTTAAATATATTTCATATTTTTTTATGTACAACTGAACATTAGTCACTGAATCTAATTTTAAACAACCCTTCTTTTTTCAGTAATTTATATAAATTTCATGTCATGTTATTCAAAGAAGAAACCGTGTGAAAATATGTTATTCAGTACAATGTGTTATTTCTTACAGCTATTAAATTTATCTTTTTATATATTCTACAGTGAAATAGAGAAGAACACAATTCATAAAGAGTAGCAATTGAAATGTTGCACACTCAGTTTGATTGAACCTATTTATTGATGTCTTTGGTAATTGTGAGCTACCGTTCATAAATATTTGAAAACATGAAAATGGTTATATTTTCAATCTAGAAAGATCCATTTCAACATTTTAATACATACACAAAATACTTATTACAAATGCAATCTACGTCCAATTTCAGAAATCTTTATTGTTCATTATATTTCATTATTTTCTACTAATTTATCTTTTTCAATGGGGGAGGGGTGGTTCTTGGGGTTGCAAGGGAGAGGAGAGGGGGGGGGGTGGGGGGGAGAGAGACACGGGAGGGGGGCAACAAAGGAGGAGGGAGGGGGCAACACAGGAGGAGGTAGGGGGGCAACACAGGAGGTTGGTGGGGGGCAACACAAGAGGTGGGAGGGGGCAACACAGGAGGTGGGTTGGGGCAAATCAGGTGGTGAGTTAGGGCGGCCTTAAGTCATAACGACACTATTAAGGTCATCAAACCAACACTTTTAAAATCATATGGCGCTTTCCTGACATGAGACAAAATTATAATTGTGCAATTATTTCAATGCTTTTTTCATACTTGTACATTGTAAGTTAATAAATTCATGATAAATTTACAAAAAAATCATTTAAAATTACAGCCCTCTGGGTTCCCCCTATAATTTTTATTCATGTACCCCACACAAATTTTTGGCAAATCTTATAATATGAACACACAGAAAATTTTGGCAAATCTTGTATGAACACAATTTTTGCACAATCATGACATGACGACGTAAAATGAAACAAAATAACATCATGTCCTCTTGTGTGGTTTTTGCAATTTCTCTCCAAAAGATGCCTGACAAAGTGCCAGACTATTCAAGAAATCTACTTGTTAATTGTCTTAAGAAAGTAAGCCAAAAGTTATTTTCAGCACAAAATAAGAGGGTCATATAATCATCAACGCCATTTTAAACCAGTCACTTAAATGTCAGGAGTACAATGAAATACTAACAACTATACAATTCCTAAGACACCAGAAGAGCTAGTTAGGAATGTACAAATAGAAAAGAAAAAGATACAGTGCTTTTTATTTTCTTACTGGTGTGAAAATTAAACTGACATACACTCTATCCAAACTGCAGGGCTTCCATTAAGTTCCAAAATTTGGAAGTCAGGGACTGCAAAATCTCTAACATTGGAAGTCAAACTAGAACTGCCACTGTCATGGCGTGAATACCCCCGCATACCACTTTGTCAGAATCAACAGTGGCCATTTAGAGCTCAAGGACAACTTCCTTGCCAAATCTGAGGTTACTAAGCCAGTGCATTGCAAAGTTATGTATTCTACATGCTTCAAATGTGAAAATGTCAAAATCAGTACACTGCGGACAGGCATTCTCAAGCAATTGAGGGGAAAAACTTATTTTATTGTCAAGGTCCCTCTGACCTTTGACCCAGTGACCTCAAAATCAATAGGGGTCACCTTATGGTCATGATCAACCTCCATGCCAAATATGAAGACTGTGGGTCAAAGGAATCTTAAGTTAATGGGTGGACAAACTTTTTTTAGTCCATGGCCCCTGTGACCTTGACCTTTGACCCAGTGACCTCAAAATCAATAGGGGTCACCTTATGCCAAATATGAAGACTGTGGGTCAAAGGAATCTTAAGTTATTGGGCGGACAAGAAAAAACCGACGGACAGCCGGCCAGCCAGCCGGACGGACAAGCTGATTCCAGTATACCCCCCTTACAACTTTGTTGTGCGGGGGTATAATTATTATGTAAAGAAGGAAACTCAGCATTACAAGCCAAAAACAAGGAGTAAATGTCTATCAAACTTCAAAGTGTAAAAAAAAGCCAATTTAACCAAAATAGTGCTCAAAAACATTTTTTCTGACTTTAAAAACTCATTAAGTGGCTGCATATAATAGCAAATTTGTTGAATGTAAATTGAAACAAAAATAAAATATTCAAATTTCCAAAAATGTGTTCAGACTAGTTTTTACATTGTACTTAGTATTGTGTTCAGGCATATATACATCGTTCAGCTTTTAAACTTGATATATCCCTCCTTCACCTGCACAATTCAAATTTCCATTCTTTAAACCGCCATTCTATTTTAAATGATTTCATTTCAACCATTTGAAATGGATTACTTTAACATATACAGTCACTCCTATATCAATATACACCTTACAAATTTATTGAAATGAAAAGTTTGTATCACAATTAATACCTTCAATATTCTACCATAGGTAAACATCTTTTGTATACTAATGACTGCATTAAAGCTACCTTTCTTACAGGATCACTCTTGACATATCTGTTTCCCTTAAAGTATGCCAAATGTTTTTGTTTTGTTTAATAATTATTATTCAATAAGTGGCCGTGCACACACATAATTATGCTGAAAACAAACAATACCTTTTTGCTGAAAAAAACAGCAAACTTTTTACACTCAAATATATTGATAATTGCTATGCAGTCTCTTTTTTTAAATGCACCGTAAGATAAACGTCTTTACACAGAGAATATACATGTATGTTACATTTTAAACCCTGAACATTATAGAATACTTAGTGTCATTTTTTTAAAGATTTTTTAAAAAAGGACCAAATCAACTATACCAGAAAATCAGAAATGCTTCTCCTAAAAACATAGTTTACGTATTCTCTTATTCAAATTGGCTTATATATATATACTGTAAGAATTTCCTTAATTTCAATAAATTTCTGCAATAAAAGTATTTACCCTTAGTATTGGATAAGCATAGTATATCTTTAAATCAAATGCCGAATATTTAGACAAATCCAAGGACATGCATGTAAGCAAATTAGCAATTCTAAATTTTTTGAGAACTACTCTTAATCTTTGAGTAAGTGAAAGAAATTACAATGAAATTAATAAACAATAGTCAGTAGTTAATTTGTTTTCACCTCAAAACATTAAATAATCATCCACACAGAAAACATCCCATTATTCCAGCCTGGCCTTACAAATCCAATATCCATTGAAATTGATTGTGATTTTTTTGTTCAGAAATCATTACAAAACATAATGCTTAAAACTGAAGGGAAAAATGCCTGAAGACCAAACTTTAGCTGGTATAATGAGATAATATCCTTCCTTGACGCTTCCACTATGTGATGACTAACTCTCGCCTCCCCTGTGGTTTTATCCTCCAGACATGCAAATACTGTTACAGACTTTCAAGATCAATTGCTAAAATGTCAATCTTTGCTCACAAATCATGTTAAATTTCTACAAATATTTCTCTCTCAACCCAATACAACACTGAAGGAATTGTGCTCAATTTTGCTACAAATTTCATGGGTGTAGAATGACTAATTATCACAGAATTATTCTTAAATTGGAGAGCGTTGCCATGATTCAAGTATGTTGTTGAACAAACCTTAAAGGAAGTGAAAATTGAACGAATGACAAGAGCACCATATGTGGAAAGCTTTTATAATTGACAGATTTAATATACTAATACATGTATTAATTATAAGATTCAGATATTGGAATAATTGGTTTGATACAACAGAAAATGAAACATGACACATATTTGTACATGTATAGTAGAGTAAGAAAATGAAAATCAAAATGTTGTTAGCTTACAGTTACACAATAATAATGATTCATCATAGCTTCCATATTTATGCGAGGCAACAGATGTGCCAACAAAAACAACCGATTTGGTCAATAGTCAAGTTAAATCAACTATACTGCATCATCTCGACATCATTCAATAGTAACAACAACAAAAATTTAATATTATAATGATATAAAAAAAATTTAATACAATTAACAGTAAATATTATACATGTATATAAAAATTTGATATACATGTATAAAATGCGTAAAAAAATGTTACAGTTTGATAATTATGTAAAATGCCTAAAAAGTATGTAAATAAACAGCCTGATACATAAAATGCATAATAAATTTGTAAAAAACAGTTTGATATATAAAATGCGTTAAAAAAAAATGTCAATTAGTAAATTTAGCATACCATTCCCCATGTAATCCTTTTGCCACTAATGTGAGAATTATCAATGTAACTCCTTAATCCTTCTGTCCTAATCTTCAAGCCTACTACCTCATTAATAAGAAATTACAGCATATCCCCCTTCTTATTCTTTCACTTTACAACTTTATCTCTAAATACCGATATATATTTCTATAATCTCACCAGATAACCTATCGTAATTTCCCTATTCAATTCACAGTAGTTGTCTACATTTTTATCGAACATTACTTTTAATACATCAGATAATATATAAACTGTACAGAAAAACAAACGGTTAAGGCCTCTGGCCGCCTTGCGTAGTATTCTTTAAATACTTTCACTCCAGTTATGACACTTATGACTCCCTCCCCCCAAACGTGGCCAACCTTTTTATTACACACATCACTGATCTGATAAGCATCTATTGATATAATTATATTGCCTGTAGCTAGACATATATGTGTGATGAAAATATTAATTAATGTTAGATTTTTGTTTGTTTGTTTGTCTCATTTTACGCCTTTTTCAACAGTATTTCAGTCATATAGGCGGGTAGTTTCCTAACCATCGTTCCTGGAGAGTTACACCAGTACTAGACAACCTTCCTCCGCGCTAAACTACCAAAGCATCTCCCGGGGATCGAACCCACGCCAGAGAGGTACCTGGATTAGAAGTCATCGACTCTAACCCCTCGACCACGGAGGCGGTAAATGTTAGATAATTATGATAATGTCATCACCTTGTCTGTGTAGATTATTTCATTATTATTATCAGTAATTAATATAATTATATTATTGTGGTTAGTTTGTTTGTTTCAGTGTTAGATTGAAACAGAACAGAATAGAAAATATATCATTTTTGACTTGAACATAGTACATTATCGATAAAACATTGATCAAAATGCATACATAAACATTAAACAGTACATTTACTGGGAATATTATTTGGAGATGTTCCACTTGAATTTGATGTAGGTCTAGACCAATAACTTTTGTGCAAAATTTCAGATCAATTGCTCACTATGTATTTCCAGATTGCTCACTATGTCTTTCCGAAATAATTATTGTAATTGTGAACAATGACCCAAAATTGAAAGCGTTGCACAAACTGGGCACAATACAATGGCACTGTCCACATTAACACAATTTTCAATTTATTTCTGTGTTTATTATCTTAATCACCTTTAATAACCTTTTTGCATACCTTTCTGTTTTAAATGACTCAGACAGTCAGACACTCTAAATTTGTATATGTAAGAAATTCAAATTTTATGTGTTTATGCTATTGGACCATGGTGGACTTCCTTTAATATTGAATGATCAGAATTTAGCCTGTCTCAACATGAAGTATGACACTAAATGTATTTAAAAATTTTACTTTCAAAACCTTTTTCATTCAATAAAATTCTTTCAAATTACTAGCATTCCAACAATCACACCTTCTCAGCCTTTTCTGTCAAATTTACATGTACTTCTTTATATTCATAATATTTTTTTACAGTAATGTATGAACAATTATTACAATCAAAGGCATTTAATTTAGAATTTAGCCTGTCTAAACATCTGAGTGACAGTCATGATAATATTTTCAAAATTGTTTCATTCATTAAAATTGTTTCAAATTCCTAACATTCTAGATGAACATTTCATACTTCAAATAGGGCACTTCCTTTACAATGTTACAAACAGTTGATGTAATACAGGACTGCTATCTTTATTAAAGAAAAGATGACATACTGGTATGATAAGAAGACTGAATGATTGATGTGGGACATTTTTCTCTTAACAAGGCTCATACACACTGATATGGCAAATTGTTTTACATGTGTTCTGAATATAACTATATGTATCTGTCATAGAAATGTTAAATAATAAGACATAATAATATGGACAGGGGAGGGCCCTGTGGGTGGGGATATATAATTGTACATTGTGTAGCCATGCACTAGCTTAATCTGCTGATTCTGCAAAATGGATTCAGGGCATTTTTTTCCATCTACATTTATAGCAGGGGCCTTTTAAGGGTGACTTCCCTGAAGAAAAATTCTTTAAAATCATGCAGATTTCCCCCTAAATTTAAATTGACATCAAGTTTTTTCAACCACTTTATTCAGTACCATATTCAAAATTTTCCCTCAAAATTAAGGGAAGGGCTGCTTTCCCAGCCAGTGAAAAATAAAGCCCTGGGATGAGCCTAAGACAGTGAACTCCTATTATGCTTTCAAATAAGTGTGCGAAGTTTCAACCCATTTCTTTCAAAATTTTGGAGATACCAACACATGGATATGTACAATAACATTCCCTAATCCTCGAATGGTCAAGCTAAATGTACTTCCACCTTAAGATGTCTTATTCTTCGAAAATTCAAGCTAAAAACACTTGCATCTTAAGATGAATTTTTCTTCACATGATAGTCAAGCTAAAAATGCTTTCACCAAGTATTAAAGATATATTCAGTAAAAGTGAAACTTGTAACTTTACAATGTCCTTAATGTATGTAAATGAGTAGGATATAAGTACCAAAACAGAGACACTTTCTTATGTCAACCATATAAAATACCGATTCATTTGCATTTTATTGCTTTTGGACATGATAGTAAAATGTTTACAACAAAACAAATTGCAAATAATGCAAGATCAATGATACAAAACCCTTTACGTCTATTTGTAACAAACAAAAACCTAACACATAAAAAAAGAATAAAAAACATCATTTGTTGTGGGCTATATACTATCATACATTATGAACATTTGTGTAAAAGGAACACATTAAAAATGTATGCACACTACTACAAATCTTTAAAGAATGATTTGCAATGTTTGATTGTGTGCATCCTAAATTCATTGCTTATATATGTCAGAATAACTAATATTATCTATATTCATTTTTTGACTTAAGTTAATTTTGACTTTAATTGAAATTATCTTTAGAATAAAGTCAAAAAGTGCTTATTTAGCAAAATACTACTGCAAAAGTAAAATATAATATACAGACACTATGACTGAGTCAGACTCCAAGTCGGCAACACATGTTACCTAATTGAACAATATTATGTAGGTGCACAAGTGCTGTGTAAACAATTTCTGCAAGAAGTTACAAAGTGATTATATTGACTTAAAACAGGTCTATACTTTTACTGTCAATAATTGTTTCATTTCTATTGGACACTGTTTTGTCATTCCTAGGTGGTAATAATTTTTTTACTTTTTATTTTTGTTATAAGAAGAAAATATGTCAAAGGCGGAGCTCAGCCTAAGGATTTTTTGTGTTTATTTTACAGCCAATATTCGGCCATATTCCCAATTGAAAATAGTATATTATTTTCCTAGCCCAACAAATTGTGCGCTTTAGGGCTTTTTATTATATAGACGGTCGCCCTTCGCGTAAAGACAGACATCTATGAAATATCAGATTATAAAATCGGTCAGTCTTGCAGTCGAAATATTGAAACTAATTATTTTCCCAATCCACAGAAAATAATTCCCAAATGAAAGTTACAAAAAAAATATCAAATAAACAATTTTATAATCTTTGAGAGTGCTTAAATGTTTAGAGATGCCATCCTAGACAGTGATTGTTTGAATTCATTTAATCACTGCAAAATTTCAGTCATGCATTTTTCCCCAATTTTTAGCAAAACATCATGGGTCATGTTCCCAAAATCCTGGAAAAAATGCTGGAATGTCCTGTCTCATAGTATAGAAATGTTGGCTTAGAACAACTAAATTAAGGAGAAAATGTGTAAGCAACCAGGCTGTCTGCAATTAATTAGACTTGTCAAAGAGACATTGAGATAATTTGGATGGACCGTGATGATGACTATTTCCAAGTCCAACCACAAACTGCGTTTTTCTTCACTGACACTGCCCAATTAGAAGTTGTTGGCAATGAAAGGAAGAAACGGCCCACTTTACCAGCCTTTTGAAACAAATTGCCATTTGGCCATGATTTCACCCTGAGTCTTCAATAAAGAACTGAAGACACATAAATGATCCCACTAAATTTCTCTCTCAATGGTAACCTGGTTTTAAATCTGCCATCTTAAATAATATTATAAATTATAAATAATAACCGGTGCATAATTATTTCGGTCTTGTCTCTAGACCTGCAAATATTGGCCAACAGCTACACATATTTTTTATTTGTGTCTCTCAGTTCTAAAGCAGTCATTTCAATCGTTTCAGTAAAAAATAAATTTTACAGTATAAATATTTATAATATTGTCTCTATTATTTGTTGATCTAGAGAGACCGGATAAGACCGGATCAGCCATATATATATTCATATTAAAAGTTATTCACCAAATTGATTTTTCATCATGATGTCATAACATGTCTGTCGAAGAAAAAGTTAACAATACTAATTTAAAACAAATTGCTAGTATGCATTCAGAGAGCAATCATTTGACAAATTTTTGACTGAGTCACAAGATAAGTAAAAACTAGAACTGTTTCCAAAGGACACAGATGCCCCCACTGTGCAGATGTGAAGCGGTTTAAGAGGAGTTGCGTTCACAAAATCTCTATATGGTATACTGGGCAGGAACCAGTTTCCGGACAATACCAGTTTCCGGTCAAGTATTATAACGGCGTAATTTTAGCTTTATCGATGACGATTGGTATTATACGTCATGAAGATGCTTGGTTTGATTGTTTGAGAAAATAAACTTCCTTCTAAGTTGATACATCATTAAAATTTTGTGAGGATATCTTACCTGTGGTTTAAAAACAGCCTTATATCCCTTTGGGGCATGTAATTTGTTCTGCGCATGCGCAATATTTTGTTTATTTCGGGATATAATTTGGGGGCTTCATTCGAAGTTCATTGGGTGTAATCCCCAGAGCTAAATCTGTAACGTATCGAAAAACGGTGTTTAGCTAGGTTTACTCAACTTTCGCACTTGACTTCGTTGCTGCAGTACCACAAAAATATCCGTTTCACTTTTCAATCATTCCGAGACCCATCACGTGATCGTTATTTTTCCTATCATAAACATTTTTCAGTAAATCAGCTTAATTATATAAGAAAGCTAATATGTGAGAAGAAATTTTTTGTATATTAGACTAATTATCAGTTAACCCATTACTTCATGAGCATTTTGTGAAAAATGGCTGTTTTCATTGAAAAGTCTCCCGTTACAAGTTCAAATTGCTATAATACTATAAAAACTGCTTCAACACTAATCAAACTTGGCACAAATGTTGACTGGACCATTGCCCTTGCAACAACATACTCAGGCTTAAATTTTCTGTTACCATGGCATCGAGGGGACATCTCAAAATTGCCAAAAATCACTTTTTTGCCTTGATTTTTTCCATTATAATTGATTTCAAAGTGCTGCAACTTCTCAATGGATTGAGATAGAGTCAAATGCTTTTCAGCGTTGGTTACACGTTACCTTATGATCAATCTGGGGTCATTTATAGCCTCTCACAAGTCCAAAATTTTCTTGGCGATGAGGGGGACTCCGCCCCCTTCAAACCCCCCAAACAGAAGGGGGCAGATCCCCCTTCTGGCAACCCCCTGATGTATCTTTTGGTTGGGGGGCCGCGCCGAAAAAGTGGTCACTTTTTTTAACAACATTTCTCAAACAAAAACAAGTGTTAAGGGCCTAAATAATGCATTTTTTCACCATTTGAGACAACAAAAAGGGGGGGGGGTGAAAAAGGCGTTAAAAGGCGTGTATATGATACAAGTGCGATGGCTTAAAAACAGATATGAATAGCAGCTTAATATATGTCCGGAAACTGGTTCTGCAAGAGTGAACAATTTACACTTTTGATGACCTAATTTAACCCTTCAGTTTGTACATTGCTTATGTCACCAGGCAGTATTAATTGTGTTATCGGACATAGTTAGAGCTCAGGTTTTTGGTATGTTAGTTTTAATAATGCATGTTTATTATTAAAGCAGGGCTCTCAGTAGGGTCAGAATTTCACGAGTCAAAGACTCTTTGGCTAAAATTTTCATGAGTCAAATAATTTTTTTCTAGTGTCATTTGACTACATGAATCATTTTTATGTTACAAAAATAACTGTATTGGAGGTCATTTTTGGTGATTCCAAAGTCTAAATTGACAGAAAAAAATGCCTAATTATAAATGTCTATACCCACTCCACCTAAAAAACAAAACAAAAAACAAATAAAACAAAAACATGAATTGCTGTGAAAGAATTAAATAAGCAGCAGCTTTTCTGATTAAATGTATAAAATATAAAAAAAAATATTTTTACTGGTATGCTATATCATATTAATTTTAAATACCAAAATGTACCAGGTATATTTTAACAAATGCACAGGTACTCCAAGTAAATCAAAGACGTATTATAAACCTTTAAAAGCAATCAATAATTGACACCTCAAGTATGTAATTCTTATCAGTTGTGTAGAGCTATTTTTAGCGCTGTCAAATTGCAGCCACTGAATTGTCACGCTTCAGTGCACAGGGTATAAACAATTGCCGTGTGTAAAGCATTTAATACACTGCTTATACTGCCTGTTGACATTTTTTATGAGTGTGATTTGAACACATGTAGGATTTGATAATTAGGGGTGGATTTAAGGTAATTATTATTGCATAGCTGAAAATCCCATGTGGCAAATTGACTCTTGAGCAGATTTTATCACGTGTCAAATATGTGCATTTCCCGATTTTCACGAGTCAAAACCCGGATCCCCGTGTCAATCGTGAGCCCTGATTAAAGAAAAGACAATTAAAAAAACTCGAATTCTGTCCGGAAACTGGTTCCTGCCCAGTATAGTGAAAAAATCAACAAAGGGCCATAATTCTAAATTTGGTCGCAGCAAAAATTCCTTCCTTTACTTCCATCTACACATTAAGGTTGTTCATCCCTGGAAGTTAAAGCAAAATCTGCCATCCAGTTTAAGAGGAGTTGTGTTCACAAAATTTCGGGACGTACGGACGGACAGACTTAAGTACGTTCCAACATTTTGGGTTTAGGGGCTATTTTCTTTGTTATTTTCTTTGTTTTCTTAAGGGCTACTAGCCCATAAACCCTTTGATCACCGGATGAACCTATTGTTCTCTTTTGTTCTCTTTACTGTTATATAGCCCCTAAACCCAAAATGTTTGCTCGGACAGACGGACGGACAGACAAGTGCAACGCTATATACATCCACTTTGTGGGGGCATAAAAATATATATTCTAAGATTTTTTAAAGAACTGAAAGATGTTGTCCCATTTCATCAAACTAGCAGTGTTGCCATTAATTTTATGTGCGCAAAATTAAGTGAAACGGTTTAACAGTAGGAATATAACAGTCTATTAAATGGGTCAATTTCAAATCTGATCATGCTTTTAAAATTAATTACGCTAGGTGGCCTGGTATCTGTATTCTCATTCTATAGTTGGAAACTATAATTCGCATGATGTCCTTATTTTCAGTCCCTGTTAGACTACACATAATTTTCAACCTTTGACACTTATACGGGGAAGTCAAAGACCGGGCCCGCGAAGCGGGTCCGGGCTTTGGCTTGCCCGGCTATAGACTACACGTGTATATTTAAAAGAAAATCAAATAAAAAACAATTAAAAAATATATAGAATTCTATACCTATCAACGAAATTTTCAGTGTCAGTTCTAGTCGGGCGCCGCCATTTACAATGTAACTCAATGATAATAGGCGGGGTATTCCGATAACGTACCAAATCTCAACTTTTCGGATAAATAATAATCGTCGAGTGTTCCGAGTGAAAACGGAAGCAGTGCAGTAATACCGAATGACACCTTTAAAACGGAAGGAATGAAAGGAATATTTTAACGACTTCACCGTTCATAGGCTTTGCCTAATTTCATATTATATATATTTTTTTTATTTTAAATCAGAGTAGATATTCATGCAAATTTCTAACTTGGCTAATTTCTTGAGAATTTTTAAAAAAAATCTAATCAAATCTATTCTAATGAGAGTAATCATAATGCATTATTTAATAACTAGTAAAGTCCATGTAACAACATTCACACATTTCTATAAAAATTTCTGACATACAATTTATCTTACAAGCTTCTATTGGAGCAGATTAAAGAGAAAAAAATCCTATCTGCCTTATTAGAATAGAGATCAAGGGAGATAATTCTTGATTAAACATAGCGGTTTAAAATCAGTTGCGTTTCAACACGTTTTTAACAATCATCTGCGATCAAAAAGCAAAAATAAATTCGACAAATATGAAAATACAATTTGCACATTTGAAAACAAGCACTTTTAAGCCGCATCAAGAATTAAATGATACAGAAATAGCGAAAAATTCTTACCAGATATTATGAACAACTTTCAGCCGCCAAACCGGAAGAACTATTCCGAATGAAGCGACTGTCAAAATTCACTTCCTGTTTACATTGGTTACTCTTTACAGGTAAGAAAATTAACAAATTTGTGTGATTTGTTACCACATTATCACCTGTTTGAAATCGAAGAAAACATTGTTTTGTTGTTCTTTGTCTTCTTGTATTTCTATTTGCATTAAGTTAAATGTTACAGTATAATGCATTTATTGAATAAAAGTGAATAAGTTAACTGTTAGGCATCTCAAGCAGCATGGAAAACTACAGTAGGCCTACAGCATGTTAAAGGCCTTTATTTGCTTTGTTAAAAAGATTTTAAAAAAATTCAAAGAGAAGAGTGCATGGTTAAAAGAAAAAAAAAATACTTGTTGGGCATAGAAAGGGGGTGTTGTCACTAGATCTAGTCTATCCTTGAAGATATTTAATCAGACAGGATTTGACCTGATTTGGGAGATAATATTAAAATATTCCAATAAGAGTTCTAGGGAAGTAGGATGTTCCCTTTATGGTACCATTGTTCTTATTCTTTCCGACAATAAAGAAGTATTTTCAACACATTCGGGCAGCTTTTGATTTACATATCAATGGTAAAAACAGTTGATTGGTGGTTTTCAGTGTGTAAAGAAACACATTTTCTGATTACACTGGAAAGGGCAAGGACGCGGTACCTGCGGGGAGTACTATACAATTTAGTAGGGAATTATATTTCTATCTAGCTGTGCAATGGCATTTAGTGTGTACTTATAGGATAAATCTTTAGGTCTATACAGTTATATATCAGTAATCTGTATTTCATAAGTTTTCACCTTATAAATTGATATTCCAGATTTAATCAATGTGATTTTATGCCATGACAGTTGACTCAACTATTATATATTGTTAATTTGAAGTAAATGTTAAATGAGTTACGCTTTAAAATATATTTCAATGAATATATGATTAATATACTTTCTGTCATTAACTTACAAGAAAACAGGTTGAATTAGGAATTACATGTAGTTTTTCTTTTTCTTAAATTGATAAATTTTATTCATGAACTGCAAAAACATGTATTAAACGCATTATACTTATTGTTTATTTTCAGACAAGCTAATAAAACAATGTCTGACTTGAACCCAAGGCCTTACCCAGGGTACAATCCAAGAGGCGAAGATGATTCTCCCCGCCCAAATGCAAGGGTAAAGCCAGAAGCTGAGGAGTTTGCTAACAAAGGCCGTGGTTCTTTAGATCTGTTTGCCTCAACACCGAGGGTTATCCCTACTTCCACAAGAGAGCCTCGTTGTCCGGGAGGTGAAGCAAGACAGAATTACGAAGTAGGCCGTCATGGAACTGTTAATAAACTTTTATATGGACAAGCTACTCCACGTAATGATGAGCTGGCAGTTCCGAGAGTAAAGGACGAAGCTAGACCTATTGCAGAAGGGCATCAAGGCAAAGCAACATCACAATTGTTTAATTCATATGGTAGATTTCAAAGGGATACACCACGTGCATCACGTGTTAAGCCAGAAGCTGAAACTACTGCAGAACAGCACCAGGGCGGAAGAATGAACAATTTATTGCATGATCCTAAAAAGCTTCCAAGCTCAGCTCGTGCAGCACCAAGGGTCAAGGTCGAGGCATCAGCAAATGCAGACCTTGGTCGAGGTGGACAGATGAATAAAACAATTCACAGTTATGGATCAAACTCATCTCGTGTAGAGTACCATGCTCGTGTGAAACCAGAAGCATCAGAAAATGCTGAAAAGGGAAAAGGTTATATGGGAACATTAATGGGAAAATATGGGAAATTGCCACTGGATGATCAACCAACTCAGAAAGTGCGTGGAGAAGGTGGTGATAATGCAAGTCTTGATCAAGGTGGTAGGATGTCTCGTTTGATGCATGAAGGCAGCAGGTTACCACAAGACCCTAGGCCAATACCAAGGGCTAACAGTAAGGCAGCCAAACATATTCTTAGAGCAAGCAGAGGTCAAATAGGTCAATTATTTGCTGAAGCCGGAAAGCACCAAACAGTTCCTAAAGCAGGAATAAGATCAGCACCCCCTTTGAGAATATATTAGTCTAATGCTTAGTTAAGTTATAGAAGCAGAAGAGAATTGCCTTGTGCTGTACAGTGCTTTATCAGATTGGTACCAATTTAGTGGCACCAACCTAGCTTTTAGTGTACTGACATGAGTATTATACCATACTTGGACAAATAAAAAATTGGTTTTTGCTGAGTAGTTATCTCAAGCTAAAAGAAACAGTGTTACAGAGTCAGACATTATGATGCCTTTTGAATGGAAGATTTGGTTAAACATTTAGTCTACCCCTTTGATTGTTTTACTGTCATAATTGTGCCTTGTTTATGACAATGTGATCTTATTTAAAACAATGTTACATGTTTATATTCTTTATGCTTTTTATTTTCTTTGAAACTTTTAAAGAGCATTGTTGCTTTAAAGATTTTTTTTATTTTCAACTACATGTATATATTATGCTTGTTTCTAAAAGTAAGGTTTATGTATTTTTCAAGCGGAAGTAGATATAGTTAAATTTTTAAAAAAGATTTTGTTTCTTGTCCCAAGAGGGGACCGAATTTAGTGGAAAATGATAAGATTACTTTAGTTAGACATTGCATTTATAAAGATTGTTAAGAATATTTTTTTGCTTACACATGTCATTTGCTATGCTGAGGTCATTCTTTTAAAGCAGCTCCACAAGATTTGTGTTATTTTTTATGATAAATTAAAAGTGGGGAGCATACTGTGATGGGGTGATCTCTATGTAGTATATATTGTTATCATGTCTCAATAATTTAAGAAGTTAAGCCTTAAAGTTTGTCAAAATTTGGTAGGGCCAGTTGATAACCCCTATAGATTTTGAGGTTAAAGGTCAAGGTCACCATCATACTTGGTGTTAAATCTTTGTCTGTTCAGTAAATTGAGAAGACAGAAGTCTTTGTTTATAAAACTTGGTATGTACAAGTGTCCATGGCCAATATATGACCCCTGTAGTTTAAAAGGTTAAAGGTCAAGGTCACCATGTGTAATATCATTGTCTGTTCAATAATTTGAGAAGTTAAATAAGCCTGAGTTGATGAAACTTGGTGGGTAGTGTCTATGACCCCTAGATACCCTTGATTGTTCTCAAGGTCATTAGGTCAAAGGTCAAGGTCTCAGTGAAATTTTATGTAATATCCTTTTCTGATCAATTACTTGTTTAACGTTGGAGAACATTAAAAAAGGCCAGTAGAGGATCACTCTTCATTTTGAGGTCAATAGTCAAGCTGCCATTGACACTGTGTGTACTGTTCTTGTCACACAATAATGATAATGTTAACTAAGTTTGTAAAACTTGATAGGGACCTTGCCTAGGTCATTAGGTCAAGGCCACAGTGACACTTGAAATCCTTGTTTCATCAATGAATAGAGTTTCTTATGTCATAGGTTAGTCAGACATATTTTTTCTCTTAAAAGTTATAATAGTATTAAATCTATATAACACATGAAGATTATGAAATATGCATATGTATGAAATAATAATGCCACTGTGATATAAGAATGAAGTAGTAGCATAAGTGTCCAAGTGACATGATTCTTATGAGAAGATATATTTTACTTCTCTGAAGGAATTTCCTTTTAATGTATACAATGATTATCGTAAGGAACAAACCATATTGTTTCCATGTTACATCCTCGGGAGGCTTGCATTTTTCCAAATAGTGGGCCAGTAATTAGAACTTCAAAAATGTGCTTTAGAATATGTTAATTAAAGATACAGCTTATAATTACAAAACTGTTCATTCATTATTTTGATCTAATAATTTTTTATACTACAAGATTTTTTGATTTTTTAAAATAATTTTACATTATTTGAGTGTTATTAATTGTAATTTTTTAAATAAAACAATTGGATTCTTTGGTGTGCTCTAACACTATTGAATTATAAATCTCTAAGGTATTTTTTAGATTTTTCCACAAAATGATGCAGTGGGGGAGGGGGGGATGGGGTGCTTATAAGAGGGAATTGGGGGCATTAAATGGAAACAATACGGTACATATGTATTTGTTTTTATTCTTATTATGAACAATCATAATCTCAGTGGGCTCTATTTGCTCAACTCATAAAGTGTGCAGCCCACCTTTATATACATGAATATTATTTATTTTACTTTTATTTCCCATTGTTGTACATAATAATCAATATTTTTTATTTTATTTTCTTTGACTTAACCAAGATTTTGCTTTTATACATTAAATATTAAGATCTTGCTTTATCTCAGTTTGTATTGTTCGTAGTTATTTAGTGCAATAATTTCTTGGATATATATAATAATATTGTAGATATTATAGGAGTTTATTTAGGGTAAATTTTAGTCTCAGCCAATTTTGAGCATTTTACTTTATATTGTTTTTAACTTTATTGAATAGAAATGAATAAAATTGATAAAGAAATGTTTATTGGTTTTTATTTGAGTTTTTATTTTAACTAGTTATTTAATATTTGGTTTATATTTTTAATTAAGATAATATACACATGTTAATACTTATACATGTAATAATATACAATTTGAAACAGAAAGGAATTGAACTAAGAGCTGCAACAGCTCATTCCATGGACTATCATTCCCCTAGACTCAGTTCTATTTTCTTGTCGTCTACTCCTGTATTGGTCAATTTAATAAATATTGTCAAGTCACTGCCAGTGTTTATCTAATTTTATTTTAAACTCGTTCACATTCTAAGCATCATGGTAGTCCTCTCCTTTAACAAAAGGGACAAGTACATGTATATATAACACATGGCTTATTATGATTTTAATTAAACCCTGTAAAGAAAAAAATTACAATATAAAATGCGTATTCAAAATGAATTTTACAATTACTTCCTTTAACAGTTTTATGTTTAATGAATAAAAATAGTTTAGGTCTACCTTACAGTTGAAATGATAGGGAACAGGGTAAATGCACAGGACAACTTTAAAGGGACTCTGCTGAGGTTTTTTAAAATGACAGGACTGGAAATAATTTTTCAAGATTAATGTTTCATTTGATGTAGGTCTAGACCAATAACTTGTCAGACCATTTGCTCACTCCTTTTTTCCAGAATAAGTATTCTAATTGTGAAATATAACCTATGATTTAAGGGGAGCAGGGCCTAGCAAGGGGAGTGGTGGCTAGTGGTAAGACGAATTCATTTTTGAGTTTATGTCTTAATTATCTTTTGCATATCTTTCTTCTTTACTGCTCAAGCTGATATGTGTATACATTCAAACTCAATGTTTTAGACTTTCATGGACTTTTTGACCTCAGTGGAGCTCCTTTAAAATCCAGTGTATTGTCATTGAATTTTTCAATTTCATTAGCAATATGTTTTGCTAGTTTCTAACATTATTACCTGACAGTGTAATTCCATTTTGTTTCCAGCATGACGTTGTTCAAAATTAGTATTTTATCAGTTTGTTGTCAGTACTAGTGTGTTGCCAGTATGATATAAGGAATCTTTCTGTGAAGGATAGTTTCATGGATAAAATGTCCTTGGCCGTGTCTTATATATAATATTATTCATTCAGTTATGGCAAGTCTATTAGTTTTGACAATTGAAAAGGCATGAATTTTAAGACATTTCCTTAAAGGGACTCCACTGAGGTTTTATAATATAACGGGACTGGAAACTGGATTTATTTTTCGAAATTAATGTTCCATTGGATGTAGGCCTAGACCAATAACTTGTGTGCAAAATTTCAGATCAATCTCTTTCTTCGTTTTTCAGTAATAATTATTGTAATTGTGAAAAAAGTTCATAGTTGAAAAGTGTGCTACACTTTCACTCAAATAGGGCTTAGAATAGCACAAAAATACGATTTTCATTTTTTTCTTAATTATGTTTTGGAAATTTTTTCCTTTCAAGTTACTTAGCTAGTTGACCTATGTAAATTTTTTTATGTTTTAAGCGTTTGTGCCTCAGTGGAGTTCCTTTAACTGTCAATGCACACATTTTTCATAAGGTTACTGTGATAGATTGTGAATCTGTAATATTTATCCATAATAATAACAGATTTCTAATCGTCTGATGAATAATTTACAAAACCTACACACTATCAGTCTGGGGTATTTTTAACAAGCTAGTATAGATCTGTGTATTTCTGCACTACACTAATGTCAGATTGATAGAGCTCTATAATCAAAACATCTGGTATCAGTATAGGGAAACAGACTGACAATATAACCCTCATATTATCAGTAACTATATAGATTGGCTGTTGCCAGCTGTTTTGTGTTAACCATTGGACACTCGACTTTCCTCAGCTCTATATTTGTTTACCTGTCGGTCCATTTCGGTGGTAACTTATTACAAATTCAATGATTTTTTTGATAATTACATTTGTATTTATGAACTCAATTTAAAATAACGTATAAAGAATACTGATGGTTACAAAGTAGGATTATAAACTGACCACCAAAGTTTGGGAAAAATCGAACATATACCTTGGTAACGTATCAAACAGACTGGATTTATATTGACATGTATTGACATATTGTATATATATCTGTGATACTGACATTGACAGTATTTTCTTTTCGTAATGTGAATACATCTTTAAAAATAACCTGTAACATATTTTGTCACAAAATCAACAAAAATTACTTCCTGTTTTTCTTTAAATGTTTTTATTTGTAATACTGTGAATAAAAATTATGCATGCAAGCAATTTTAGTGGTTGAAACTAATAAATCTTAGAAAAGAAGGGCAAATCTAAATGCATTTATAGTTGCTTCACTCTATTATAATTAAAGGCACATTACGCTCCAAAAACGTAAGCTCTATTTTAAAAGCACATTACGCTCCAAAAACGTAACATATTTCTTCTTTAGAAAGCCTGCAAACACGAGTTTTATAATGTTCAAATAACGATTTTAGAAAGGGCATCACCTGAGGTTAGCACCTGACCATAGTAGCGCTAAATGTGAAATAATATGTCAATAAATAATGTAGCAAAATATAAACAAAGTAGTATTTTTACTTCCGTACAATATATTAAACTACTATAAATGTACTTATTGCCAAACAGCTACAGAAGTAAATGATTGTTCATGTATTTGGCCGATGAGAATCTTTTTGGAAACCTAAAAAATGACAACACATATTGAAAGCTTTTAAGAATTAAAAAAACAGAAACATGTCTGGGGCATAATATAGGCCTCTAAATCAAGAAAAATCATAATCATGTATGAGAAATATTTAAGATATGAATATGTTTCCCTAGATCAATAAATAATGACAGTCGTGATTGATTAGATCAATTAATATATTACATAATTAATTTTAATCATCAATTCATCCGCGTTGACAACCGTGCATAAGAAAAGACATTCTTACACCTTGGCTTTTTCGCGCTATTTCATTCCCAGCGGAAGTAACACGTGGAGCACCTCTACTGGAAAGCGGTAACTGTCCATAACTACCCATTAAAACTCCCATAGTTCCTTGCGATTTCCGGTAATTATCTTCTCCGTCTACACTGACCCGTGAATGCGGACGAGAAGATGGCGGAGCACCGTAATCATGCATTAGTCTATTAATTTGTTTTCCTTTATTCAGTTCAGCGTTATCTTGTCCGTCAGCTTTTACCCTTGGTGCAGCGCGTGCAGAACTTGGCAATCGTTTGGGACTATGAACAAGACATTTCATTCGACCTCCTTTGTGTGGTTCTGCGATTTCTTCAGCTTCCGGTTTTACACGTGGAGCAGGCCTATCGGATGGCGTCTGCTGACCATATTGATTTAACAGCTTTGCCGCACGTTTTCCTTCGTGACTTTTTGCAATGTCCTCGGCTTCAGGTTTTACCCTCGGTATTGCACGCGTTGACAAGGGTGTGGCATACTTGTGTATGTACTTTTTCATTCTTACACCGGCGCCTAACTCGGCAGTTTTCTCCGCATCAGGTTTGACTCTAGGCGGTGCGCGTTCTGAGCTCGGTAATCGGTCCGGGCTGTGAACTATACAATTAATTCTATCACCTTTGTGCTTTTCAGCATCTTTCTCCGCTTCTGGTTTGATACGTGGGGCAGGTGGCGGAGATAACGAAAGCCGCCCTTGTTTCTGGAAAAGTTCTGCTGTTCTACCCCCAGCATGGACATGCGCTATGCCCTGTGCTTCTGGCTTCACTCTAGGAACAGCTTGTGGAGACAGATTGAGCCGTGGTGTCGGACGTCCTCCTATCAATTTGTCAACTGTCCCACGACCGGCTTGATAATTTGACATTGCTGCATCTCCTTGACATTTAGGTTCCGCTTTTGGAGTTCTGGTTGTTTTCGCTCCATATTTAAGCTCAAATGACCCTCTAGCCTTATTGGCAAAACCTTCTGCCTCGGGTTTGACTCTTGCCAATGGTCTCGGAGAATCAGATGCGGTTTCTTTTTTAAAACCTGGATAAGGCCGTGACGAAACGACCATCTCTCTAGTTCTATGAAATACTGTAAATATATAAAAAAAAAATATCATTAGTTTTGCCTTTACTTTTGTTTTATTTTGTCGGAGGATGAATAGTTAACAAAACGTAACAGCATTTTAACCGCATTTAGCCAAATACAAAAACTACATAGGTTTCATTTTGGTAGACATGTATAATCTTGGATAACGGATCCCAGATGCAATGCAAAACAAAGTGCATTTACTATTAGCACAGAGACAGCTACTAAATAATTTACATATACATGTATAGTCATTATATGTTATTATTGAGCGTATATACAACGTAAAAGTAACATAAAAATGGTATTTTATTATGTCATTATACTTAAAACCTAAACTGATACAGGAATGATCTAATGATAGTGGACCTTGTTTGTCATTCATCCAAACTTCTTTGTTGATGCATTGTGCACGTTTATTTTGATATCATAATTTATTTTGATAACATAATTCATTTCTATGTTGATATCATAATGTATTTTGATATCACAATTCAATATGTATGTATAACATGAATAAAAATATTTATGTTTCTTAACAAAGGAAAACAATTAAAGACGTGGAATAATTTCCGTACAAGGACTTCTAATAAGTAGAATTGCAATGAAATAAGGCTATTCATAATATATTCTTGCAGTAAAAAAAACAACACACCAGATATGTACATTTACTAAGATAGCCCTTAATTTGGTCTAACTATAAGAAATATATGCATATTTTGAATGAAACACATGTTCACAAAAAGAATAGACTTTTATTTGTTTTAATAATAACCTTTATTGAAAATTAAAAGTTGTCCTCTGTGATAACGTGTATTATTAGAATTTGTTCTTCTCATGTCTATGTATGTTATATACTGAGATATAGTTAATTGAAGAAATAACGATATAAATGGCTATATAGGTCGAGAAGTTTCTAGAGTATCGTTTCGTCTAGAATTCTTTATCTAAAAAGCTTGACAGTCACTCACAAGTATGCTATATAAAATGTTTACATATTATTGTTGACCACAAATAGTTAATATGAATTAATTCAATTCAAATTCAAACTATGTATATACATATAGCAAAAGGAAATGAAAAAAATAATAGAATTCATGTAAACAATTCAGTTATCCATATATGTTAAAGAAACCCTTGATTTGAGACACACAATATATGTTGAGCATGACCCATTCTCCTTTTCGTATGCCTGTACTTTTTTATGTCGTATTATATACAATTGTTAATAAAATTTTCTTGTTACTAGATAATGCAGCTATTCAGTAGGTACATATTTTGATTAAAAATCCCTGAAAATGATGAATGGTTTAGTCCAGACTGAAAGATAGACGAGGCCATTTAAGATATTTAGTGTGTTTAGGGTTTACATTCAACTGCTTTAAAAACATTTCAATTGATAAAAATCATTAAAATATAACCACTGAAATATGAGAATCTAACCGTTTAAACTTATTTTGTAAAACTTTAAACCTTATAATGAATGTTAATTCATTCATAATACAGATTGAAGGAGAAGAAAATGAGAGAATAATACGAAAATTACCTGGCATTTATCCCCCACTTTATAGAAGTAATTTTTCAATATTGACGTTCATAAAAGCTATCCGATTTCATTTTTAAAAGGTAGTCAAGTTTGAAATATACATTTGTATATTTAACGTACACGTTTAGCTAATCGATATCGATCTTACAACGGGTACTCTGTAAGCATTAATTCAATAGATTAACGGGGTGCGGTATAAATATTTTATTCAAGCAGACCGAATTGTAAAATGCGTATATAAACATGGCTTTGATGCAATATTATGCATTTATGACATTTTGAATAACAAGAAACATTGTATTTTTAGTGTGTTTTATTTCATTAGATTAAACATGCACATCGATTTTCAAATGCAATTATTGATAAATAAAGCATTGACAAATTAATAGATACATGTATTATTACAAATAAATAAACAAATCAATGACAAATTTACATGTAAATAAGTATAACTCTGAAAAATCACTATTTGAAAATTTAATTCAAATCTTTGATATTGCAAAACGATTATAATTCGCGATGCACGTTTTTATTTGCTTTTTTAAGGGGGTGGATAGGTCAATCAACGAACTTAAGATCCAACAGCATTTTATTCCATCTACTAACGATTATTTACATTACTTTTTTTGCGTTTTTACTTCTGCATTAAAGGACACCACGAATTTAAGAACAAGCGAAAATGTTCATTAAAAAAAAGCCACAAACATAAACGCGAAGTAAAGATAATTCAAGCTAAAGTTCACCATAAAATATGACTCCTGACTGTAAAAGTGATTTTAAAAACAACCTGAGTCGTCAGAAAATTTTATTAGGACATCGAAAGACAAAACAAATCATTGCAAAAAAAAATCGATTGTGTTGGTATTGGTGTTTTATCTGTATAACTTCAATAGATGACTTTGTTTCTTTGAAATACTTTTTATTGTTGTTGTTTTCTTTTTTCATCGGGAAATATATAAATATGACACCTATGTCAATTGAATTAAAACCAGTTGTTACTGCCCAAAAATATTGTCTATGTATTGTCAATTATTTTAGAAAATGTCTTAAAGACTACTTGGGGATGTAAATAATTTCATGGCAATAGTTTCGTTACACTTCGCATCGCACTTTTGGGGTCCAACGCACTTTGGGGTCAAAATTGAGAAAATAACCCAAAAGTGCGTTAATATGCTACATATCAACGCACTTTGGGTTCCGGAGGTCTGAAGGTGTCATCTGAGTTCTGCTTCAATACTGAGTACTGACTTATTTTCGATCTGCGACAATGAAATATTTTAGGTGGAGTTCAAGACGGCGGTCGATACTTTGTTTGATACTTCATAGTGATAAAAGTTTCATTAATTTTACCACTTGAAATATCTAAAATGTGTGTTCATGTAACAAAGTACTCTAGTACATAAATTTTGGATGTATTCCTAAAATTAAAAGATGCTGCGAAATACTTCCCGTTCTGTCAGTCATTTCCTTCATAACTTTTGGTGCCATATTGAGTCATTTTAAATAAGATGTGGATGAAATAAAATGCAGTTAATATTATTTCCAAAGAACTATAAATAAACTCTATTACAATGTTCTGATGAAATATCAAGTTTATCGATCGGACTATAAATAGTGATTTTACAAATACATTATTAAGCTTAACAACAAACTTATATTTTTTTGTAAGCTCGATCTGTAACAACCGTTCGCCAGAGGTTTTTTTAATGGGAAATCTAACATACTTCTTTAGAAAGGGCAAACATGAATTATATCATGTTAAAATAATGGTATAATAAAAATGTAATGCTTTGTACCTGAAAAAAAAGCTTTTAAGAAAAACAAATAAAAGCACAATGGGCCTTTAAAACGTTATTTTTGTAATCTTGAGGGAAGGGGGGGGGGGGGGGGGGTCGACACCCCACCATCCCTTCTAGACCCTCCAGTGAGAACTTTACATTATTATGAAGTTACGCTCTTAATGTGTGGCTACTTAAATAGTTTATGATATTTTTGAGTACTGCCTGTACGGACTACTACTTAAGGCCGCATCTACACCTAGTGAAGTTTCTTATATGTCACATTTAGACAAGCTAAATAAATGGCCCTTTCAACATATTATCAGGCACATTTTTTACTGAGATGTCTTTTTAAGATTTCCCAGAATTTATACCTTTGTCTATGCTAAAACCATATAAATCTAAAATCATATTTCTATAAAATGTGTAATTAAAAAAAAACGGGAAAATGGTGCAATTAGCTAAAAACAATGGAGTTAATGAAAAGTGTACATTCCTTAAAAATAAATGGAAAATTGGAGAAAAAATATATGTTGAGTTTATAAATTAATACAAATTCTTTATTTGATGGAAGCTCTTCACTTACTGATCAAGATCATTTAAATCCCTACTGATTCTAATATAATTCAGGGCACATGTTTGGGTCTATTTAATACCTTGATTTTTGTTTACTATTGGTTATGACTACAATATATTATTTAAATCATAATGAAACTTCATTTTTTATGACCCCAAAGTGCGGTCGTTTGTCTGATGTTAAAAAATGCACATGTACCTGTTTAACGCACTTTGGGGTCAAAATTGAACCCCAAAGTGCGTAACGCACTCTGGGGTCGGACCCCAAAGTACGTAACGCACTCTGGGGTCGGACCCCAAAGTGCGTTGAACCCTAAAGTGCGGTGTTACAGCGCACGAACGTAAATGTTAAAATAACAAATCAAAATTATGTTCCAACCTAAAAATGTGGTTATGTTTCGTTATTCAACAGCGATTGTCACATTTAAATGTTTTTGTTCTTGTTCTTATTTTTATTTTTGTTCTTGTTTTGTTTGGTTTCAAACTCCTCGATGGTCATAGCTCGAGGCATCTCCCATTCCTCGGACGAGGGAAGTTTCCTCGGAGGTCTTTGTTCGTTGTCACTTCTGCAATGTATGAATTTCATACTAAATCATAATTTTGTTATGAATCATATTAAGTTAGGAAACAACTGATTGATGTTGTATAATGATTGATTAATCAGACAAAATAAATCATTATCACAATTAATATCTTTAATGGATTTATCAATCTTTCAATCTAAACAAAACAATTCATCACTTTTAAAAAGAAAATCAGTGCAGATCATTGCAATCTATTTATTAAGAAAGTTTTAGAATGACTTTTATTCGTTGAAATAAGTTCACATTTAAATGTATATTTGTATACAACTGACTTTGACCAGGATACCAGTATTTGATCTAAAAAGGATCTGACATGTGCTGCCACATGATAGTATGAGATTTTTGTGCATTGTCCAGTGCAATACCGAAATCTGATAGACAAACTCACAACTGTTAAACCTAATTTGTGGTGGCTGATTTGTGCTAATTGTATTTTTTGGTCCGCTGGGCGTCAGGCGAAATATTTTTATGTTTTCTCCTGTTGCTACGCGGAGCGAAAATACGACATGGCATGAAAAGGCCACCATAAGAATCTCATATATGGTTTTACTGCCTTTGATAAACAACCTCAAGTGATAAAAGTTCCCTTTCTGTATTTATTTCCTATATAAGACATATATATTCATTGTTTAGAAAGGGACTTAATGTAGAGTCGATGTGATAACTTATTTTTACAGGAACTGCGCTCTTGAAATTCAATGACTGATTGAAAGTAACTTTCCTCCTTAGAGCATTTGTTTTCAGACGAACTTCCTGTTTCCCATCAGCCCCGTAAGAATAATTTCCTCTTCTACCATCATTCCATCGAACCTGTAATGAAAATATTTAGATAAACAATTTTTATGATATTTTAACCTTAACATTATACTGAGTGTCATCAACTATACATTATGTACTCCTTTCTTTGACCTTTAAAGGGGACTCCACATAGTTGTTTTTATTTGTTTGGGTCGTCAGACCAAACAAATAATGGTAGCGGAATTTCAGACCCTGATGTTATTATTTGCAAATGCCGAAAGTAGTCCAAACTCCTCGAAGCGGTTACTTCCTTTCATATGTACATTAACACCGAAAAATTAAGGGGAGATCACTGTGTAAAGATAGTCAAATGACAGGCGCATTAATTTTCGTAACGAAAAAAATAGTCGAAGATTTCTAATATTGTCTTATTCTTATAGATAAACATGCTTATATTCAGCTCCATGATTATTTACTTCAGTGTTAAACATGAACAAAATATATGGAAATTTATAAGGGTTACAAACTCTAATTAAAAATAATATGGTATTCTTCAGATTGTTGTCTTATAACACCCCGTGGTCGAGGGGTTTACACTCTCGCATTAGAAGCGAGAGGTCCGGAGTTCAAATCCCAGTTCAGCCAACTCATGTTTTTTTGTTTTTTATTTTTTTTTTTGACTAAGCCAAATAAACCTTGAATTGAATACCAGTGTTGTAATTAGTCTTATAGTCAATTTACTATAGTTATAACACTGGAAACAGAATTTGGTGACACTTTACAAACAAATTGGTTTATAATCTCACAACCTTCACCTTTCTGACATTCTGAGACCCAAACAAATTCAGCGCCTTCTGTGCTTTGATTAAAATATACGTTTCCTGAGAAATTACTCACAGTCTTCTGGAGTTATTTAACAAAATTTGTTTTAAATTGTTTATGAAAAAAATGTGCAAATTTACTGTTTCTTGGACCATTTATATATACAATGTATTGTAAAGTGGTAGGCAAAGGTAAAAATTTACATTGAAAATAAGCGACATTATGTAAAAACAAAAAAAAAGTTTTTTTTAGATTTGGCTATAATGACTGCACATTTTCATAACATTTTACTCTGTGTAATTTAGTTATTATTAGATAAGCGTAAGTTATATGATTGTACCACATCCAATAAGTACATCTACTTAAAACGTAAGACATATAATGTAATTGGCTCCTACTTGTTCGAATAAAGAGTATTCTTTCTTTTTGAGAGGCAAGAAAAAAGCAAACACCCAATTTGAAACTAAGAGCAATAAAGTGCCCACTTAATATAATTGAAAAAGAAACACGCACAAAAGAACAATAAGGCTCTTTAGATTTAGGAATATAAAGAATGTATGACGATAACATTTATCACCATTATTCTAATGAATATTGAACAAACGGTATCAACTTAAAATTTATTTTTATTAATAAAGAACTGGGATTGTTTCAAGTTGTTTAGAAAATAATCATAGATCATATCAAGACGAATCGTGTGTTCTAGCTTTAAGAACAATTGAAAACAAATAGGAATATGCAGTAATTTGGTAAAGTAAAAGTTTTTCTTCTCATGGTATCTGTCATTTGTTTGACAAGTTCAACAAGAGAACTTGATCGATTAAGGTCAATTGTCAAACATTTAGAAACTAGACTTAACTTCGAATTTACAATCAGAGACGAAGATATTGCTGAAATAACAATGCGACTGAATGGCATCGATAAATTGTTAAATGAAACCATTGGAAAACAACAGCCCGTTCCTTCAGCGGCGACCAAAGCTGATGAGATTAATTTTGAAACAGTTGACACATTGGAAGAGGATTTTACGAGACTTAGAACAGCCTTCACCGAGGAAAAATCTGAGTCTGTAAGATTTCGACGGGAAATTCCAAAGATTGAAAACAATCTGATATCCCTCAACAAAGATGTTAAAAACTATTGCAAAGTCGCTGTAAATAATACTGATCAATTATTAAGCAGCTTTGAAACGGTCAAACATGTGTCAGAAGACGCTATTATAACGTCTGAAAATGACCGGAAAGTGTTACAAAATATGGCTGAAAAGGTTAAGCAAAACACCAAACAAATTGAAAACATTGAAACTCTAATAACTAATTTATATTCGAAAATGGAGTATCTATTCTATCCTACCTCCTGTCGTTTGTTAACAGCTATGGGTAATGCAGGAAATGGAATAAAGAAATTACGACAAGGTTCTGTAGTTTACTGTGACCAAACTACAGACGGTGGAGGCTGGATAGTATTTCAAAGAAGACTGAACGGAGAAACAGATTTTTATCGAAACTGGAATGAGTATAAAAACGGTTTCGGTGATCTCAATGATGAGTTCTGGCTCGGTAATGATCATTTGAGTCTACTGACATCGGATGGAGAACACGAACTTCGAATAGAGATTGAAGATTTTGAGGGAAACAGTGCATATGCTAAGTACAGTAAGTTTAAGATATATCCAGAAGAAGACAATTACAAACTTGAGGTGAGTGGATACAGTGGAACTGCTAGAGATGCTCTTCGATATCATAATGGTATGATGTTCTCAACGTATGACAGAGATCATTGTTACGGTATCTGTACGGCATCTTATCGGATTATATACTTGTTTAAGTATTTGCAGAGTTACATCCCCTTGACTGTTTTCCGCCATGATTTGTTATTTTCTTGGGCGAATTTGTCGTAATTTTTGTTAGTTTTGTTGTTGGTGGTGGTTTTTCTTGTTGTTGTTTTCGATTTCACAATCTATTTCGGAGTACATTTCTTAATTATCTCTTGCATATCTTTCGGTTTTAAGTTTAAGACTTATGTAGAAAATTATTTTTTTTATGTTTCGATCCTTTGGTAGTTGTTTTTATTTCTTTTCTTATTTTTTCTTTTAACCTCAGTGGAGTTCCTTTAAACATATTAAAAACAGGATGAACAGGATTTACATGAATAGACAAACAAACAATTTTCCTAGTTCAATTTCGTAAGCAGAAGAAAAAAGAAATCCGTTTAACCTACCAACACAGAGTTTGCTCGTTTGTCTAATTTGATAACAACACCATTATCTACATTGCCCTCAGAATTTTTCCAATCTTTACCTGAAAATAATGAAATTTTGCAGATAATTTCATTGACGTCTCAACATAATAATTGTGCCGCGTCACGACAAAACCAACATAATGGGTTTGCGACCAGCATGGATCCAGACCAACCTGCTCATCCACGCAATCTGATCAGGATCCACTCTGTTCGCTTAAGCCTAAGTCACACATTCAGGATTTTTACTGCCGTCTTTGATAGGACCATTCCCGATTAAAATGTGTCAAAAGTCTGATCAAGATCCTGTGATTCGTGGCTGGAAATTCAAACTTTTATTAAAATTTGTAAAAACATTTATTTAATCACGACAACAATCAGATATTGTTCAGGAGGCGTCCCGATCCAGCCGTTTCCAGCAGAATTCGTCCCGATTATCCCGTTCTCAATCCGATTCTGATCCGATTTGTATCTTTGTCATGGTAAAAAACGACCGAATCTGTCCCGACAGCGTCCCGATTCTCCCGAATGCGATCCGACAGAGATCAGACAGTGACCAGACAATGAACCGACTCTGACGGAAGACATCCGTTAGAAAACCGTTTCACGTGTTCACGGTAAAAATATATTGTGTTTTAACTTTAAATTTTTGCCAAACAAGTTGCCTTTAATTAAAAAGTAGTCCAAACTAGGAGTTTACCCATTCATAAATAAAATAAATTTCAATAAACATTAAACAATATTTTATTTTGCTACCAAATAAGTAATGTCACAAGTTAAACTCCGCTGTTTTATTTAAAAGCCAATGGTACATACAAGATGTGACACATAATAGCATAGTATTCTGTCAATAATTATATGGTCTTCATTTACGGCGAGGGTTGATCATCCTCATCTGCCAAGGTACTGATCCAGCGGCAGAGTTAAGATAATGTTTTAGTTATTGTCTCTGCGTCTTGTCCTGTATTGTTGCACGGTTAGCACCCTGAACATTGACAACGTCAAGCATGTTTCGGCCCCAATCTCCATTCTCCGGGTACGATCCTTGCGTCCTTGACATCTTCACGATCAACCTGGTTGATGTTCATGCTTGGGTAGCGTATTCTCATTAAGTTGTGGAGACAGACACAAGCCTGTACGATGATTCTTACATTGTCAGGAGTGTGTTGCATGGTTGACAACAGTATTTGAAATCTCTGAGCCAAGATGCCAAACGCATTTTCCACAATTCTGCGTGCTCTTGACAGCCTGTAGTTAAAGATCCTTTTTTCTACTGTCATGTTACGGAAAGAGAAAGGCTTCATCATGTCAGTTCTCAGTTGAAAGGCATTGTCAGCAACAAAGAAGTATAGCATATTTCTATCATCTCTAGGAAGTGGCTCAGGATCAGGAAAGCCAATGGTCTTGTTCTGAAGGACTTCTTTCAGCTTACACTCGTTGTATATTTGTGCGTCTGAAGCTGCTCCATCTGGCCCAACATCAAGCCAAATAAATTTATAGTCCGCATCTACGAGGGCCATCAGGACTATGGAGAAGAAGCCCTCGTAGTTATGTTAGGTAGATCCGGTATTTGGTGGGCACTTGCACGCAACGTGCTTCCGTCTAATGCACCGCACACATGTGGGAAGTTCCATCTGCGGAGAAATTCATTTGCGATTTCCTTCCACTCTGCTTGGGTAGTGGGACAGGTAGATGCAGCGTACTCATCAATGAAGGCTCGGCAGACCTCAGGGACAAACATTGACATGGTGTTACTGGGAACCCTGAAGTCCCCCTTTATGCTGCTGTAACTGTCGCTGGATGCCAGATGCCGCATGGTACAGGCAAACTTCAGTCCTGGATCAAGGGCTTGCCTCCACCAGGTATCTGATTTGGTGATGCGGGGTGTGATCCGAGCCAGGACTTCATCGTATAGTTCCATGGGCAGCCTCATGTAGTTGATGAAAGCTTCTGGATCTTCTTCTCTCAGCTCCCTCATCAATGTGTCATACTGGCCGAGCTGTTCCCTTCTGTATATCCAGGGCTTGACCCAGTATCTTCTATTTCTACCGGGTCTCATAGCCCTTCAGTTCAAATAATAATTGCCAAACAGAAGGTCTTCTTCTTCTTCCATTTCCATGAGAGCAACTTGCTGCAGAAGTCTCCGTCTACGAGCAGCATTCATGGTGGACCGATCAAAGTACTGTCAATGAATGACACACACACACGTTATACTCCATACGTGAGCAGCTCAGCCGAATCTGGAAATCCATGCATCTGGAATCCTACAACTGTCGCCATATTCGGGATGATCGGGACACTGCCGGAACGCAATCTTATTACAGTCTGCTGTACCGCATTGCACACGCCTTTGTCTGGACTCAGTCGTATCGTGTTCTGTAATTGTCGTGACTCTGACGTGGGTATTATTGCCGAATTTCGTATTAATTACAGAACTGTTCCGGAACGGATTCGGCAAAGACGGTTCGCATTCGGCAAGATCTGGACGCAATCTGGACTCAATCGGCAAGAAACGGCAATGCAAAATTTCTCCAGATCATGCCCGTTCCACAGGACACTGACCAGACAACACAGGACATTGTTACGATTTTGATCCGATACAGCAGAATCTGTCACGACATAGTCACGATTGTAATCCGACTAGACAAAATCGGCTGAGTTTCCCGAATGTTACGGGACGCATCTAACTGTCGGGAGTGCTTGGCCGACCTCTTCGGACCATTCCCGATCCGTTGGACTCTGTTACGAACATATACGACTGCGTTCAGACAATGATAGGACATTCCAGACCATTGAGGATAGTAATCCGCTTTTCGTGTCGTAGCGCTGTCTGATCTCAAACGGGAGCCATAATCGGCACTGTGTGAACGCCGCATTACAAAGTCTATAGCAAGTAGAGAAACTGATAGCGAACAGCATGGATCCTGATCAGACTGCGCGGAAACCCATTATGTTGGTTTTGTCGTGACGCGGCTCATATTATTTAAAACAAAACATCAAGAGCGACCAGTGATAACATGTGTAGCAGAAGGCACAACTATTATTTACAGGCCGAAATGTTGTTGTTTTTTCATTATTCAAGGGCCATAACTCGGCTAAATTTCTTTAATCGGGAATCCCAATTTATATGGCAGGCGACACAATATAATGACAATATAAAAAATGTATGTTGTTTTTTTATTGTTGATTTTTTTTGTCATTGTTTATTTTTATTCTATTTTCAAAAATATTACTTCATCAATAACTATAAACCAAAATGAAGATTTCGCTACAAACCTGGAACAACTTGACATCCAACAGCGATTACTTCCCCTGGTTTTAGGATCCTCGGCTCGTCAACAACAAGTACGCTGTACGCCCTTGGACCGTAATTGTATATATTTTTATACCCATTATTATCCCATTCACACCATACATGGTAATCTTTGTGAAAAAATAATTTGTTTTATTATATAGAGGATATTGAATGAGTGTAATACCGAATTTATTGAACCAGTTGAATAAAATTATATTATGCGAGCCTCTTGCGAGCATAATATTGGTTTTTTTAACGAGTTCAATAAATTTAGTAATGAACTAACACGAATTTAAAATTCTATTTACACATATCCAAAATAAAGACGGTTTGAAGTGTTAAAGAAACATTTTTCATTGACGCGCCTAAAGTATAACGTTAACATTTAGCGCGTCATAACGCTATGTTTATATGACGAAAATGACGTCACGTCAAAATATATGCACGGCCGTGCAATACCATTTTTACAGAGTTGCAAAATCGGCACGGGTATGTATTAAAAACGTTATTTGAACCAATATTTTTCAGAAATTTTAATTGCTTATAATTTGTAAGAAATATATGTTATTTATCAGAGGATTTTAAAGGCCAATTATGCCTCAGAAATGCTATCATTTTTACTTCTCTCAAAACCATTTTATATTTTATATCTTGTAACAGTTTCCAAAAATACTCATGTGGCATATAGATGAAATATAATTGTTTCTTTTGCTTTGTTGGCAATTGGGATAATTATAGTGAATAAGCATTTTGTGTCTAAGACAAAGTACTTCTTTCTTTACATTTTGCTACATTTACGATATATTACTGCATGTTAAGCAGTGCCTTAAAAAGCTTTAAACATATAATAGTATAAACGTATAATAATATCAGTTTAAACGTGAAATTAAATACAAGACCTAACAATATTACTTAATCAATAGCAAGAGCTGTCCATGGGACAGCATGTTCGACTTTTCTGCTTGATAGTTATACACAAGAGCCTGGATAATGAAGAATGCGTTTAGTCCAAAAAGGGGCCAAAGTTCTGTCAAAGCACATGATGGACTTATGGGTCTTGGATAGTGACCTTTTATTATGCTGCTAAATAGGTATGTGAAGTTTCAACCCATTCCTTTTATAATCTTTTGAGGTACCAACTTGCACGCAAAAACTTTACCCAAGTTAGACACCGACGACTGGGTGAGTACAATAGATCTCCCTATTCCCCCGAATAGTCGAACTAAAATTATCAACCTTGAGACAATCAGATACAATATTTTTTTAACAAAACTTATGTCACGTTAAGCAAACAATAATGATATAGATTTACCATCATCGTCGTGGCCTATCACTGTCCCAGGACCATTGCCATCTTGGTTATTGTATTGCCAATCGGGACCACGTCGAACGCGGCAACCGATTTCCGGTAATGTAGTGCTAGTTTTCTCCTCGTACATGTTTCTGCCGTCAACAATTTCAGCACGTTCTTCTATGTGACGTTTGAATCTTTCCTGTATACTCCTCATATCCTCCTGCAAAGTTGTGTAAACATTATTATTGTATCATAGTTTGGGGGCATTTCTGTTGAACATGTGTCAGAGTTAAATCGTATACACACAGTGCATGTCGCTAGAATCAGCTGTCAGCAAAGGTAAAGTGTTTTCTATTTTCATATCTTTTGTAAACACTTCATCAAATATCGAAATTCTAAGAATGCTTTACCATGTAGATTTGATTAAAGTTTCCAGGAAGTGTTAAGTTGATAAATTTGTGTTTGAAATGTAGTTGTAGCGGCGTTTCCCAATCAGCAAGTTCAAAATCGAAATATATTAGACTGTAAATATTTTACACCTGATGCCGGTTCAGAGGCAAAATAACGCAATTCATTTATTAAAGGCGAGCGGGAGTGACGTCATTGAATGCACGTGACTTGTCTTACACGGCGGGTGTAAGACAGGTTTTTATAGCACCGGTGTAAACGGTAGATAATCCTGTCTGGTATGCAAGAAAGAATTGAATACACTGACATTACCATGTCTTCCTTAGAAAGCTTGTGGTCTGAACCATGTGTAAACTCGTCCGTCATCATGCCAGATGGATCGGCCAGCTGCTTCTGAAATTCAGAAGAAGGTCTTATAAACAGGAAATGTCTTTAAAAAAGTACTCAGCCGGATTAAAACTGGCTAATTTGCATACTCTTGTACGTTTTGTTTTAGAACTATCCTTTACATTTTCTAATGCGCAAAAACCATCATATACATTTTATTTTAAAACTATCCTTAACACTTATTTTAAAATGGTAAGAACTATCCCTTACATTTTAACTTTGGATGACCAATGGGATTCCCAGATTTAAATTTGTAATTTTAAATGACCAATCAAATTCTTCTTACATTCAGTTCTACCCTATAAGTTTTACAGGAAGTCAAACAAGCTGAATTTAGATGGCCTTTGGCCAAAAAACTATGAAATCTGACTAACAGCGGAATCTCTATTTGTATGTTAATTAAAGGGAATAATTATTTTAATTCTGAAAAATGACCAAAGTTAAAAAGCATTCCAACGCTGTTCACTCAAATCTGGATGAGAATAGCTCAAAAATACGATTTCAATAAATTTCTAAGGATATCCCTTAATTACACTCTACATATATTTCTGCTTTAAGTGCCACAGCTGATCTTTGTTGGAAATTCAAATTTTATGAATTTAGACCTTTGTACCTCAATGGAGTTACTTTCACAACTTGGTTTAGTTTTTTTTCTACTATTTTCACTCTTACAAGCAAAATATTTTATTACTGAATTATAATGATGTAAAGTAGATATTTTTTATTGTCCTCGTCATATGATGCTGGATTGACAAAAGTAGATGATTCATACGCGTTCTAAGGACGAACTATTTTTAAGGTCACGTGAACTATTTTTTGAGATCACGTGAGCAGTATTTATACGCAACCAAGTGAGATAGGGAAGAAATACTAACTGTCAAAAACTGTCTTCTTGAGAACCGTGTCCCATACGTATGATCCAGAAGCATGCCGTCACAACAAGCTGCCATTGTATTTATGAAATCCTAAAACAGCCAATATGAAAAAAATACAATAAATAAAAAATAATCAAAATAATGCACAAATATCGATGGTAACAAACAGGCGAAACAATTAGATATGTTGTATCACTTCATGGCATAAATTTTAAAACTAAAACAACAAAACACCGCAGCCTTTTTTAAGACTATCAACGGACGGCACAATTTTTTGTAAAACCCTGAGAAAATATGCTCTTTTCTAATTTTGTACAACAATATGATCTCTCTTATGATAGAAACTATTATTGCTTGATTTTTAGAACAAAGTTCAGATATAATTTACATAATCTTTCAAATTATACACATCCCTATACAAATTTGTGAAAGATAAAACATATTGTACCAGATCTAAATTTCCAACGGGAACAAAGAACACGTCTCTCTGTGACCTTCTAAAACCTTCCATCTCTTGTAAAATCTTTGCCTTCGTCTGTAAAAATCATATCTTTTATTTATTTCTGACTTCACATATTTATGCTATTTGCTTGTATATTATTTGTTCTTATAAATTTTCCTGGAAAAACTAATTAGTTTCAGGTTCCTGCATGTTTAAATGATTATAGTGTCACTCGCTGACTCAATAGTTGATTGATTGATTGATTGATTTTGAGGATATTCAGTTTTTTTCTTATAAATACAGGATTTTGATTATTTTGATATCAAATAGCTTAATTATAAGGTTGAATGAAGTTTACCTATATAACCTTTGTTTATTTGTCGAATTTTATTTATGGTTTACGTCAGCAATTAACAACTTTCTATTGGTGCTTCTTTGTTTGTCGGTAAAAATTGTTTTATTTTCTGGACATTTTGGTCATTTTGTTAGAGATCACATGTTTCAAAATCTAAAAACTTGTTTATCTAAAATGTATTTCCATATGACTACAGTTTTCTTATGTTTTTTTCTTCTTCTGATTGAAAACTGATAATTATATCAAGTGGAATGAAAAATGAAATTTCATGAGTGGTGGTAGCCACGATTAAAATATGAAAATTTCCATACCACGACTCTTTCTATGTGCTTATGATTAAAAATGCTCTCTTTTGTAATTGTGTGTATTGACTGTATTTAGAAGAAAGTAGTAAGGCAAGGTACCAGTGAAGATATTTTTCACTGCAGTGAAAAATAAATGTTTACAGTGAAACTATATATTTTTTTTTAATTTCATTAATAAGTATATAATATAGTGGTTGAAACATGTATGAGCACTCGTACTCGTACACATGCTCTTGTACATGTACTAACTGATTTTAATGACTATCAGACTAAACAATATCCAGTTTTCAAAATCTGTCAATAAGTGGTTTTGTGTTTTGAATATTAAATGGCCAATTACGTATAATATATAAATCTTGAACAAAATAAAATTGAGGCACTTGCATGGTAAGCAATATTAGGGAGTTTTTTCTCACCTCGTCAATTTTGCTAGAATCGTGTACATCGGGTCCAGAAATTAAGTCTGCTTCAGTGGCTCTACCGTCTGTGATAACTATTATCTTAGTAAGTATGATAGCTTGGTTTGGACATTGAACGACGTGAGCTGTAATATATACAAATATATATATATAAATAAATGACAGAACGAGTCGTCTGCTACAATTTTTACATAGCAATTATTACCACCCCTGGCCACCATTTTGGCGGTCATTCCAATTATATCATTTGCATAAGATACTATTGAAAACACTCATAACTATATCATCTTCACGAAAACTGATAAACAAATCTTTAACACATTGGTGCTATGATAATATTTGTTTCTTATGTATAAGATAATTTGTCAAGTCATCTAGATTAGTTGTTAATATTGATTGTCTTTATATTGTGTCAATTCTTATTATAAGTCAGACACTCACATTGATTCCCCATAGACCTTATTATAAGAATTGGTCCCTTATCTTACCTTAAAATTCAGTTTTCATGCTGTAAAGAGGTGATTTTTCTAGCAAACACATAAAATGATCCGGTTACACTGGGGTAGCCAACCAAAATGACTTCAAAGAGGATTATTCCCCCTTCCCCCTACTCATCTATTCATTGAAATTTTTTGCTACGGGTGTTCTTGCACATTTTTTTTAGCCAATCGCTGGCTATATTACAATGCGACAGCCTGACCTAAATTGCATAGAATATTGACCCCCAAAATAGCTGCTACTTTTGGCAAGGCCAGTATATATTGTAGAAATTGGGAACTATATATCTTACCGTTTTGTGCAATTTTTTAGCGTTTAATTTGTTCCCTTTTTTCCAGTTCTTAGGCAGAAAACAAACATTTACGTGATATGTTTAGTACGTAAGAACTTCATTTTTATTTTTATTAGGTTTCTTTTGAAGTCTGATTTAACGGAAATCACATTCCTTTAAAACTAAAATTATTTAATAATCATGGACAGAGCGCACTTCAAAAAGGTTTTATGTTTCTCTGATTAAAAATATCAACATGAAATACAAGGTATATACACATACTCACACCTGGTACAAAATGCCATGGCGTCAGCAAATAAGACTCCGCCAAACATCTGTGAAGGTCCTCCCAACTTTAATTCATCTGGAAAAAAATTAATGGATTGAACAAAATAATGATGATTAGATAAACTCTCCAAAAAGAAATTATTTATAATACTAAGAAGCGACTTATATTTAGAAGTTGTCAGTGTATTACTTTATTTAATGGATGAAATAAAATATCGATATTCATAGCCTGTTTGTGCTTTTTGCTCTGATTATTTTATATTAACATGTCATCCTTAAACACCCCGACAGAACATGTTTTACAACTTACTACCTATGGTTAACCAGACACAACAGTTGTGGGTCAACTTGTTCTTCCGTCTCAGTGCCGTATCATTTTTTAGCCCTTTGGGATAATCGATTCCAGTACTTTTAGAGTTGAGGATTAAATGCTGCTTAAGCTTAAAGGGACTTCACTGCTGACATGAAGGTATCAAAAACATTTTTTTCAAGACTTTTGTATTTCTGTATGAAAGTCTAGACCAATAACTCATGTGCAAAATTTCAGATCATTTTGTTTACTCCGCTTCCCCGGTATAATCAATTTTATTGTACAAATTGACCCCAAACGAAAAGCGTTGCAACGGTTTTCACTCAATTCGGCCGAGAGGAAAAAAAAGATCAAAAAGCAGATTATCATTTATGCATAGTTTTCCATTTTAAGTTCACCAGTTTATTTTTGAAAGAATTTTAAATCTTATGAATTTGGCCATAAACTTTAAGCAAGGCGACGTAAGAGTTATAACACATTCCTTTGAGTGAGACTAAACGGTATATACCGGACAAGGGGCTTGAATGATTAAATGGTAAAATGTTGCCTTTTTACCCAGCGAATTGAAAGTTAATAGGTCTAACCGATTTATGCATGATAGTGGATGAAAAATGTAAGAATCGACGGGGGAAAAGCACGCTATTTGTCTATTTTTTATCATGATTTCTGCAAGCGTATATAGTACTGCTCCAGTCCTATAATGAGTTACATCTCATTCTTTTATTTTAAATGAACAGGCTCAGTAAAGACAAAGATGCATATTTATCGTTGCCCTAAAGGAATACCCGGTAGGGCGAGGGCTCCAACAGTTCCGAGGGACTCTGCAGACTTTATAACACGAAATAAACGTGCGTTGACGCTATTATAGCATAAAATTTTAAAACAGATTCATGATGTCGATTTAATACAAAACACATACATTAAATCCTTGTGCTTGGACGGTATTTATCCAATTCTACATGTTTTACGTATGCGTTTTATTTTTCCGGGGCCAATTTTAATTGATTTAACAAAGCTTAACATTGGAGATTTATTAACTTAAGAAAAAATACACATTAAATTACTCTACACAAGACAAAACATGACCGTCAGACATTCCTAGAATTATTTCTGATTGATGGTAGAAAAAAGATCAATGACATCAGAATCGGTTTTTCTTTCAAGCACACAAGTTTTGAAAAAAAAATCAGGCACTAAACATTATTCTCTCAAATAAATATAAAGAGCATTTATCAATATAAAAATCAATAAAACAACATTTTCTCATATTCATTTTGTTGTATCTTGTTTTGTAAGTTACTCGGAGGGTTTGTTTTCATTGACAACGGTCCGTTTCTTAGAAAGGGCGACAACCAGGATTAGCGGCGATGTCTATACGCCGTATTTCCGGCATAGTTACTTGAATGCTGCTCGCCGTTACTTATGCGATTGATGCCCTCGAATCAATAATTTCAATATAACAAAAGCGCATGACTCTTTGGCAAACAAGACCAAATCGTCATTTTTTGTTTGTTTGTTTACTGGGCCCTGTATGTATTGCGCATAGGTAAAACTGGGCTATAACAAGAGCGCGTGACTATGTTAACACATGGTTTTGGTCCCGTTTTAACATTATTTCTGCAAGCGTCTATAGTACTGCTCCAGTCATAATGAGTTACATCCCATTCCTTTATTTTAAATGAACAGCTCAGTAAAGACAAAGCTGCATATTGTATTGTCCTATCGCCCTAAAGGAATACCTCTACCCAAAAATATTTTAGTCTGCCATCTACTCACTCTTAAACCGCCTCCGTGATCGAGGGGTTAGAGTCGATGACTTCTAATCCAGTTACCTCTCTGGCATGGGTTCGATCCCCGGGAGATGCTTTGGTAGTTTGGCACGGAGGAAGGCAGTCTAGGACTGGTGTAACTCTCCAGGAACGATGGTTAGGAAACTACCCGTCTATATGACTGAAATACTGTTGGGAAAAGGCGTAAAATGAATCAAACAAACAAACAAACCTATTTTCTTTCTAATTTCCTCGTAACGATCTGTATATTCCACGAGAACTTTCGTTTCGTGTCCAAATATTACTACTGAAATATGTTCCGGGGTAAAGTCATGAAAATTGGACATGTTCTCCAAACCTGCAAGGAAAATAAACACAAAGGAAATGTTAGATATTCTAGCAGATAGGTATGGTTGCTTCATATTTAAAAAAAGGATAGCGAGCAACCACTAAATGAATACAGGATATTCAAGTTTTTTTCTATCAATACATGATTTATTTTCATCGAGTGGTATGAAAATAAATATTTCATGAGTGGCGGTAGCCACGAGTGAAATACGATAATTTTCATGCCACAAGATGAAGAAAAATCATTTTCTGTTTATTATATACATATTTCTCTTTTTTGACAGTACGATTGGAAAGAATGTCCCTTAAATTTTGTGTACTGGCAGAATTTAAAAGAAATAAATGCGACAAGACACAAGTGAAAATACAGAAGATATGTTTCACTGCAGTGAAAACTATTTTTTTACATTGAAAATACGGAAAAAGAAAATACTCATTTTATTTCATAAGTATTTCTCAATATTACATTTATAAGTATATAATGAATATTTATATTAAACTTAAAACCAAATTTCTGTTGTTCTCAGAATACCTAACTTTATGTCCACTCTGAATACCTAATTTTATATTAAATTTAAATACATGCACTTAACTTTGTATTTAATCTGAATACCTAATTTGTTGTTCACTCTGCCAGCTTTATGTTCACTCTAAATACACAACTACATATAATTTAACATTTTGTTCAGTTTGAATACTAAATTTCCTTTTTATACTGAATACATAACTTTTTGTAAACTCAGATTACCTAATTTTCTGTTCAGTATAAATACATAACTTGTTAATCACTTGTTAGGGCAGCACTTAGCTTCGAATGACAGTATAACTAACTCTAAAAAGGCCTACTTTCAAGAAACTCTTTCAGAAAAATAATTATCTTATTAATATCTTAATAATTATCTTATTAATTTCATTCATGAAAGTAGGAACTATTTTTTCAAGAGTACGTATAAAAATGCCCACTTTCCAGAAACTCTTTCAGAAAAAAATATCTTATTATTATTATCTTACTAATTTTATCCATAAAAGTAGGAACTATTTTTTTCAAGTGTTCGTATACCTGTGAGATAATTGGTCAAGAATGTGTGTGCTTTTACCCAACCGTTACACTCCGCCATACTTTCTGATATGTCAATACAAATGACTACATGAATATCTTCGAGGTTCTTGTACAACTCATGATCTGTAGATTAAAAGAAATTACCATGTTTCAACATCTAAAAGATATACTTTGCTCAAATTTGATAGATTGTATTAGAAAATATTGATGTAAATATAAAATAAACATGTTTTGTCTTCACACGAAAAAAACTCTACACAATATAGATGGTCACACAAAAAACTGGCAGTTTTTTTTTAAGAAATGACCATCTTAACTTGATCTGTAATAGGGAACGCAGCACAGTAATATACTCAGAATTAAACTGTTCATCAACTTTGTGTGTGATTCTTAGCCTGATTTGATTGAAAAGCGTTGGAAATAATTTTGAAAATAAAAAATGACTATTCTAAAACAATGGGGCGAGGGAATTATCTGAAAATTGCACACAAGTTATTGGTCTAGACCTACAAAAATGGTAAACAAATTTTAAAAAAGATGTTTTTTTTTTCATTCCAGTGATGTCCCTTTAATAGGATAATGACTGGGAGGATCCTGTCACATGATTGTATAGGTGTTCGGCGCGTTGATTGGTCACTACCCACGGCCCCTCACCCACTCTACAACCCTCCTAACTCTCAAAACCATGTCAACTGCAGTATTTTTCATTTGAAACATGTTATGATATTTGGAATATGCCTTTAATTCAATTTCCTTTATTTCCCACAAAAAAATGAATAAAAAAATGATACATATATACTAAATATGCATAGCCCCTTAGTATAATTCAGATTGCCGAGTGTTTTAGTGTTCTTTCTCTTTGGTATCATAGGCAAAAATAGAAACAATGGACGAGCATCTGAATATGACTTTTCTATCGTGATCCCTTTTCCTGTCGCCACAATAAGTAAACCCAAGAACAATTGTAGCCCATCGTGTATTTAGTTTTGTTTATACTCGGCGCCGGACTAACCATATGCCCGAGATTATAGCTTCCTTGCCGGTCCACCGTTGAAGTCTCATCGGGGACGTCTTTTCATGCCGACTCTTCCTGGAACCTGTTCTTCGTAACGAGTCGACAATACTGCCCAGGCATCAGTTTTCCGACAAACGATAACAAAAAACGACCCTTGGTAACAACACCCTCTATAGTTAGTTACAACTGGTTAACCAATAATCACTTGTATTTACTTGAGATGACTTGACCTTGACCTGCCGTGTGCCTTATCCGCGACGAGCACGCCTCTGGAGGGATTTGGCCAATCAACTAGCATGTTCTATTTTATACCCGACAGACAGCGCGGTAACTGAAGTATGGGTACCTAATTAATACCTGTACTCCAACAGGGTCTTTCAAATATTTGAAAGACCCTGACTCCAGTTAAGGCATTGTGCATGTACTTGTATGCGATTTAACTCGGACACATTTTCAATAGAAAGATCTCCAAACTTTAATACAATAAATTATACTATAACAAATTTGAATCTAATAACCAATCATATTACGCGTTACATAAAGCGTGTACTGTAACTATACATACTTCGTCGTTGTTCTGATTTTGCCATATATCTCCAATGTCTATCTCCGTCGTAAACTCTTTTCACATCTTGTTTGACAATATCTACTGAAAATTTAGAAAGCTTCAGTTTTTAGAATTATAAAAAATCCAGAGACTTATGTTACAGAGGGATAAGAAGCTCTAATGATAGAAAATTTTCAAATCCTGACCCATAATCCCTAACGCGAATATCATTGACCCTTGGAGTTGATCAATTACCACAATTTTGTTTTACGTAACCAATGTGTTTACATTTTCATCCATTACTGAGAATAATTTACATCTTTTTTGCTTGTTTTATTACATTTTTGTTATTTCTTTTTATTACCATAACAAATTTTAGATAACATGGCGGTGTACATATCGGTAAATTTTCTTGTGTCAAACATATTCTCGGACAATCTCGCACAAATGTGAATTTGCGGGATAATGAATCGATGATGTATGACGTCATAGCTTCCTCTCCATTTAAACGTAACTCGTTTATAAATTGTCTAAGCAGATTTGCAACTATTTCTTTCGATTTTAAACATTAAACAATCGTTGACAAAGGATTAACAAAAGACATGTACTTGAAATTTGACAAACGAAAGGCCGATAGTGACATTTTAAAATTCTTGAACTCTTGGGTTCATCTTCACGAATTCAGAACTTCAACATCATGAATTCAGGCTTTCAACTTCGTGAAGATTAAATCTTGAATTCGTGTAGTTGAAATCGTGAAGTTCAAAACATGAATTCATGGAGTTGAAAGTGTGAAGTTGAAAGCTTGAATTCGTGAAGTTGAAATATTAAAGTTCAAAACGTGAATTCGCGATGCATAATTCGTGAACTTGAAATCGTGAATTCATGAAGTTAGAATCGTGAATTCGTGAAGTTGAAATCGTGAAGTCATGAAACTGAAATCGAGAATTCTTGAAAACACGAATTCAATTAGTTCACGAAATCGAGGATTGAAATGACCCCACTGGTCTTCCGTACTGACAACTCGTATGAAACTTACCTTCGTCATTTAGAAAGTTTACTTTCCTTTTTGAGTTTGTGCTGAAATTTTCAGTTACATTATTTTTATTTCCGATTCATAAATTGATATAGTTACGTAAAGGGTTGTTATAACATGGGTACATAAAGTAATCACATTAAGGCATGTTCTAAAACGGTAAAGAAATGTTAATCTGTGCATCATTTTTATTATCATTATTTCCTGCAAAAAAAGATTTATTTAAGAATTAAAGATTTAAAACCGAATATTACATTCATTATAAAAATTAAAAAAATATTCATAATAACTTACAGAATGTCGAATGTAGAGAACATGAATTACAAGTAATTCAAAATTAATTTTGCATTTTATGATAAGATATGACATGATATGAAATGAAAAGACATGATATTTAAAAGATATGATATGACATGCTATGATATGATGTATTATGATATTGTATGATATGACATGATTTGGATATGATTTGACATGATGTAATATGATATCATATGACATGATGTGGACATAATATGGTATGATATGATATGAAATGACATGATGTGGACATTTTTGTTTGTTTGTTTTTGGTTTTACGTCACATCGACACAGTATAGGTCATATCGCGACGTTCCAGCTTTACTGGTGGAGGAAGACCTCAGGTGCTTTTCCGTGCATTATTTCAGGCAGGAACGGGCACCTGAGTAGAACCACCGACGTTCCGTAAGCTAGCTGGATAGCTTCCTCACATGAAAGAAGCCAAAGTCCCTGTCGGGATTCGAACCCACAGCGGCGAGGGGCAAGTGGTTTGAAGTCAACGACCTTAACCACTCGGCCACGGACGCCCCCTGATGTGGACATGATATATGATATGACATGATATGATATGAAAAGATATGACATGATATGGATATGATTTAAAATGAAATGACATGCTATGGATATGAGCATGATATCGTATAATATGATATGGACATGATATATGATATGACATGATATGGATATGATTGACATGATATTATAGGATATCACATGTTATGATATAACATGATATGATTTGATATGATATGGATATTAAATGATATGACATGATATGATATGGATATGATATGATATGACATGATCTGGTATGATATGACATGATATGGTTTAATATGATATGATATGGATATGATATGACATGACATGGCTATGGATATGGATATGACATGACATGGATATGATATGACATGATCTGGATATGGATATGATATGACATGATCTGGTATGATATAATATGATATGATATGATGATCTTGTATGATATGATATGATCTGGTATGATATGATATGATATAATTTGGATATTATATGATATGGATATGATATGGTATGATATGATATGAAATTTACCGTGCTTTATCATTATTACTTGCGGAGTCCTTGGTATATTTAGTATTATCTATCTCCCGAAAAACGTCACCCATTGAGATAGCGGAGTCTTGTGTCTCCCTTTCGGTGTTACTCTTTATTCCTGCGTTTGACACTGGTAACGAATACGATTTGTTGGTAAAAGAAAATGATCGTTTGTAAATTAACATATTACCATAGATTTTAATCGTCTCATTTACTGACATATTCAATATTGTATTATATTTACGGTGCACCAACACAATATAGGTCATATGGCACCGGAACAGCAGGACAGATGATTGCGGCTAACCTTGGGTGTTACAAACTTAAAACAACAACACAGTGACCGAGGCCATCTCACTTACTGGAGCTAAAAGATGCATAGACTCCAGTAATTTAAACCAATTTAGTACACTCTTACTATCACGCAGGGTTAAACGGTAGCTGCAGTTCTGATGCCTCTGCTCTTAAAGATCCTGTATGTTGTAATTAAGGTTGTTACTGTATGAATATAATCATGCTTCTTAAACAATTTTTAAACATCGAAGAATATGTAAAATATGAACAGCAAATATTTGTACACATAATATGTAATCATCAACATATTTGAATTCATTTCTTATTGAAAAAAAAATGATTTAGACTTTATAAAAATAAATTTCCATTTACCTCCCTATATTAACATGACATGTAAATTCGGAAATATCTTTACAAATAATGTTTTTTTTGGAACTTACAATATTGATAAATCTTCATTTAAGCATTATATTTATGATATAAAACCATAAAAAATGAGTTACAGGATCTTTAAAGGCAACCCATCAGCTACAAGGATATATGTATTGTGTAAAAGAAAAGCCAGTGATAATATAATAGGCATGGTTAACATTAAAATATTACTAGTAATTAAAATATAAAAATATCCGTGAAAATATACGTTTAAAGAAAAATGGGGTGAATGCGTCCCTATCTTTGGTTCGTAGGCTCGAACGGTTGATCGTAGGTTAGAGCCCACACTGGTCAAAGCTATTTTTTCTCATTCCATAAAACTACTGATCAGTTCTTTGGTGATATTTTAACACGATTCTCAGTTATGATAATGGTTCATGCTTTTGTCACAATCGATATCAAATAATAATGTTTAATGGCACATAATGCCTCAGAAATCAATTTTTTAAGTACTTTAGAAATGCAAAACATGTGTTTGATAATGTTTTAGTAATTGATTAAGATTTAAGACCATGTTAGATATTCAGCAACTGAAAAAGTAGCACTGAACATAGAGTGATGTGTCGTAAAGATAACAAAATAGTATTTTGACTTCCATACAAAAAAATAATTCACTTAAATATTTCATTTGCAAACAGAAAAATAAGCATTTCCAAAGCATCATGGGCCTTTAAACTGATCGCATATGATTTGTTTAAAGTTTATACAAAATTGTTTTAGTTCGATTGTGTATAACCTTATTGGAACACTCTCGAATCCGTTCCTGGAACTAACCAGTACCAAGCAATGAATGCAAAGTTTCATGCTCAAAGAAACAACAGCTAGCCCCTGTCGGAGTATGAAACTGCGCGGTCAGCAATCCCTAGATTACTAGTCCGACGCGTTAACCACTCGGTTCATAATTTTTGTTTTGTTTTTATAGTAAATGTAAACTTATTTTACATTACCGGAATCTCTTTTATCGGGATCTTCAACAAAACCTTGTTTATTGTTACTACCAAGACCAGAATTGTCTCCTGTTCTTCGCACTAGAGCTTCAAGGGCGTCAAGTCTTTCCTTTAACTGTAACCGAGCTTGTTTTTCCTCGCTGAACTTACTCTCTAACTTACTGTATTGTGACGTCAGCGCTAAAATGTCTGTATAAAATGATAAAAGAAAAAACGGCCGTAAATAGTTGACATATTCATCAAAAGATCCAACCAAAAACCAGTCGGACTGCAAAAAAATTAGTTCTCATAAAACATTTGCGTTCAACAAGTTTAGAATCTAATATATACTTTAATTGTTTATCTTTTAAACTTACAACAGTTCTAAACATCTTTTTATTAATATATGATAAAGTTTTTATACATCTATTATTTCATTTTTGCTACAAAGTGTTTCAAAGATTATTACGGAGTAATTGGTCCTTCTTAATTTTTATAAATTCTTACCTTTCTGCAATTTAGTATTGTTATGATTGCTGTAAAAAGAACATACGTAAAATAAATGTAAATGTCATTGCATTTTATTTTATTATTTTTAATGTTTTCATCTGGACATTTCGCTAAATCACAGATATACATTTTGATAGTACTTTACATATTGCGTCCGTGATACAATGTTATTATGTTTTTGTTCTGGTTTTTGTATTTTCATTAACTCAGTATTTGATCTGTCTTTATATGTAACACATTAAAGGGACTCCACTGAGGTCCAATAGCCTAAAATAAAAAATTTTGAAATTCTTTCTTAAATCAAATGGTACACTTCAATTTGAAATCAAGCAATAGATGATATATAAATTGATAATCGATTTTTATGCGATGTTTGGCCAATGAAAAAGCAAAACGGTTTTCATTTTTGGACCAATTTGCACAATAAAATTGATTATTTCTGGGAAACAGAGTGAGCAAGTGATGTGAAATTTTGTACATGAGTTATTATTGGTCTAGACATACATCTAGTTATACAAAAATCTTGAAAAAAATATTTTCGGTCCTTTAACGTCAAAAAAATCCTCAGTGGAGTCCCTTTAATCGTTGATTCTTTCAGTACATCATTTTTATTTATTTTCCTGAATCAAATATATTTCGTACATCAATATCATTTAAACCACCTTTAAAACAATCAAATATTTCTTTCAGTCAATAGCGAGTAAACAGTCTTTAAATCAACCAAATATTTTAACCAAATATACGTCAATTACAGAAGTATAAAGTTAAAGTACAGTTATAATCTGTATTTATTTCTATATTCAATGTAAATAAAATAAAACAACGACATATATAATACCAAGCACATTTATTGTGTACTTCATCAGGTCCTGGTAAGTCGTCAATTCGTTTCTCCATTGGTTGCACTTACAGTTTTTATCTCTTTTAGTGAACACTGGATGTCTTTTGACCTTAAATTATGAATTATAGATTGATAGAAATATACCATAAACAAATAAAAATAAAAATTAAATGAGTGGTATTCATTTGTATGTGTTTTACATATTTAATCCAATGTAGACAATCATGTATTTTACGCTAATGGAGATAAGTTTCTGTCTCTTTTATGTTGAACTTATGGTGGATAATACATAGCAATGGTAGAAAATGAGTCGCGCCATGACAAAACCAATGCGTTTGCGACCAGCATGACTCCAGACCAGCCTGTGCATCCGCGCAGTCTGAACAGGATCCATGCTGTTCGCTTACAAACCCCTTTAACAATTAGGGAAACTGATAGGGAACAGCATGGATCCTGATCAGACTGCGCGGATGAACAGGCTGGTCTGGATAAATGCTGGTCGCATACGCATTATATTGGTTTTGTCATTGCGCGTCTAAAATGAACCAAAATTATTAAATGCAGGACAAGGAATTCAGAGTCTCAAATAGAATACAATAATAATATACATACTTTTGAATAACTTTACATATCAAATACATTCAATTGTATTTAATATTATATAACTTTAAGATGCAATTGTGCAAAACATTAAGGAAAATGAAAAGTTACTTGAAAAACTATAAATGAAATAGAGATCTATATTCTGAGCCCGGCTAACAGTTTTTTATGAGGGATGATATTTTTGCTGTTACTCGAAAACCTATGCTTTTTTTTGTTGTTGTTCTTTTTCATTACCCAGAACAAATACTTCATTGAGACTCTGTTTCTATAGTATTTTATGTTTCAGACTTTTACTGTATAAAGTTTAAAGAAGTATCCTTACTTTAAAAGTCTTTAATCACATGGTACACTTGAATTAAGAGTAAGAATACATGTAACTCCCATTCGCCAATGGGAAATTAACATTACAAAAATAGTGAGGGGTAGAAAAAGTTATTGTTTCATCTCATTATTAAATATTTATCTTACTTTTAGTTTATACAAATTTATTTTAGTTCGATTGTGTTGGAAGCTTTAAGCTTATTGAAACACTCTCGAATCCGTTCCTGGAACCAACCAGTACAATAAATGTAAAGTTTCATGCTCAAGGAAACAACGGCTTGACCCTGACAGGGTTTGAACCCACGCGGTCGCCACTTTTAAAAACGAGCAGGAAGATAATTTTAACATAAAAGATACATAAACCTATCTACCGTAACGTAAAACATAACAAACTCAATTAATATTTAAAATTTCAATACATGAAAATGTCAATAATAAACCACTTACTTTATTATTTATTACCCAGTTTGAGATAAAACTGAACTTTTTTACAGACTTCAATCATACAATGACTTAATCAGCGTTTTAATTGATATTTTCCTTAAAGTATAGTTTTGCAGGTAGTTAACAGATTTCAGATTGTAAATGATAATACGCCTATAAAGTTTCAAGTTAGAATTATCTGTAAACACCTGTGTCATTTTATTTAAAAGAGCACGCAATGCAAAATGCGGGTTTTTTCCTCAAGTTTTACGACAAGTTCCGTTTCAAGTTTCATACGGGACCATCCTGTCTGTCAGACACAATGAGTGCATATCTCAGGAATTTAGAAGTCATTGTTTAAACGAGTGTCGAGTTTCCTAAATTTTGAGTTTGGAATTTAATAGGAAAAAAGTTGTTCGTAGCAACTCTGACGTTTATATGGGAAGTGTACCTTTAAAGAAAGGGAAGAGAAGAAAAGCAGACCATTTTCTTCTGGCGTTTAACACAAAGAAAGTTGAACAATTGATATCAATTTGAACGGAAATCTGGATAAACATAAGCCACCGCTATCATCCCTGGCATTACTTGGCTCTGTCATAGGTACATCTATATGTGTGCTGTAATTACAGTGGTTTTTATATATGAAGTATCTATATTTACCTTTATTTATTTATTTATTTATAACCAGGTATATACTTTTAAATTTAATATTGAGAAATATTGATGAAACAAAATGCGTGTCTTCATTGAAGCATATATTCCGTATTTTCACGGGTGCCTTGCCGGAATGTTTTCTTCTATATTCACCCAATACTAAAATTTTTAGAAGTCTTGCAAATTGTAATGTCTAAAATAAAAATGAAAATAAAATATATTGATAATAAACAGAAAATCTCAAGTTATTTTTTCTATAAATACAGGATTAATTTTCATCTTGTGGTATGAAAATGATTATATTTCAGTTGTGGCTACCGTCTATTGTGAAATATTTATTTTCATACCACCCGATGAATATAAATCCTGTATTCATAGAAAAAACTTGAATGTCATGTATTTATTATGGTGTCTGATTTGGAACGCGTTTGTGTATTGTATTGTCGCTAGCGAAATCACGACAAAGCGCCAAACGGCGCGTTGTCGGACTTTCATCTTGTCGCTAAAGATGCACGCCAAACGGCGCGTTGTCGTGCGGCTTGTTGTCGCGATGTCACATTGTTATTCGACTCATTTCGAAGGGTTGGCGACATGTCCAAGCAACAGGGCGGCATTGAGACAACGCGCCGCTAGAGACAAGACGACAACGGGCCGTTTGGTGCGTTTCGCTAGCGACAAGACGTCAAGACGAAAAGGCGATAACGATATAGGTTGTGTTGTCGCTGTCGACAACGCAACACGCAAAGTGTACCAAATCAGCCATCATAATTTATATATTAAATATTATATTTTCAACTTTTGATCCCTTCCTTGTCATGGGATACACGTTATAACATTGCCCTTGATCTATTGTGCAATTTTCTATCATTTTCGATAGTAATATTTCCTTTAACATAGTAAGAAAGCTTAAGAGGAAAATAATGTGTTACATATTTTTGGGGGAGGGATTTATTTACAGCCAAAGAATGTGCAACTATAAAAAGGAAAGGCATTTGTTTTTACATGTATTTAACACTATAAAAACTCACGCCTTAGTTATTTTCACAAGAAGTGGACGAAACAATGCCATAATTCTAGATATGAAATGAGCCATTTACAATATTAGTGTTCAAAAAAACAAAATGACAAGCATTAATGAAGAACAACAAACTAAAACTAATTAACACAACATGACATTAACTGCTAATAATAACAGCTCCTTCCATAGGCGAAAATAAAAAAGCATTCCATAAGAGACGACGCCGCTCTCCGGCGTCGCCAAAAGAACAAAGTATGTATAACATTATCAATATATAGACATGACGTTTGCAAGCGTTTTTTGCGGGTTTAAAATGAAATGATACGTTTATAAAAACAAATCACAACGGTTTTATGTTGATATACTACTGTAGTACATACTGGATACATGACTTTATCACTTTTATTATTGCACGTAGTTTTATTTTTTTATATCGTTTATGTTTCAAACATAAATCATTCAAAATCTATAAACATTAATACATTTTTTATTTTGTAAATATAGATCTTAATATAAGACAGAGAAAGAGGAAAATGGGAACCTAGCGCAAGATTAGTGTTCCTTATAACCGAGTGTACGCTGTTTCCGATTTCACTTTAAAGGTGGACCATTTTATCACAGTGTGACTGTATTGGTTAGCAAAATCTTTTGGGCTGAGATGTATCTACATGTAGATGAACAGTGATAGCTATACACATTCTTGTCATTTTGGTCATCACTTGTACATTGGTATTCTTAAAAGTTCATTTCACAACTTGGGGAGAGGTGTTCTTCCCCTTCTTATCTTTTAAAAATACTCTATATATTTATATCTAATAGCTAGGCCGGGTACATGGTGTTTCTTTGGGATTCCTAATTCAGTTTCGTGGAAATTGTGAAGCAATTAACTCTTAACAACTATAGTTCTTTTTAAATATATATCGAAGTGCCTGTTTGATGACCTACCCTAAGGTCTTGTATGTGAGCAAACGATTGGTCCTATCTTTACATTAAAGGGACTCCACTGAGGTTTAAAAGCCTAAAAACATAACATTTAAATTTCTTACATAAATGAGCTGGGGCATTTCAACATAAATATATGCAAAGATAGTTAAGAAATATACTTTGAAATAAATTGAAAATCGTATTTTTATGCTTTTCTTAGCCCGATTTGAGTGAAAAGCGTTTAAACGCTTTACATTTTGGACCATTGTTTTGTATTTGAATAATTATTCTGGAAAAAAAAGAGTGCGATCAGAAATTTTGCACAAAGATTAGTGGTCTAAACCTAAATCAAATGGTAAATTTATCTGGAAAAATATTTGCAGTCCCATCATGTCAAATAACCTCAGTGGAGTCCCTTTAACCAAGTATGCATTGAGACAAAAATACAGTTTTTACAACATGTACATTCAAAATGAATGATAGCGATCTGGATTTACATTCTTAAAACAGTCAGGTTTAACAATTACCGAAACCGTCAAATTGCCTGCAAATTACCTGTATAATCGTTTAAGGAAAATATTGTGTTTAAGGAAAATAGTGTTTCGGGCGCAAATTAGTATTCTAGTGTTGTAAATTCTATACATATACATGTATATAGTACCTTATTCAAAGTAAGTGATTTTTTTATGTAATAGTATAATTTCATTATATATTTGTATATTGTAAGTACATTGAAAATTTGATATTATGAAGAAAATTCTGGTTTAAAGTCAGCATCTAAAATAGAAAGGATTCTAGTTCTATAATATCAAAGAAATTAGTTTCAACTTAAGTTAACTTAATTGCTGATTTAGGATTTTATCAGTGGGTGTTTAACCTTCCGTGTTGTCGATCAGATAAAACTTCCTGTTTTACCTTTACACTTTAAATAGACTTTTCGTATTTTTAACATGGAACAGTTCAATTGCGTTCAAGGCATTTCATCAACAGAATACAAATTAATTCGCTACCAACAGAAAAAGAGCCTGGTCAGATCGAACGGGTGCTCCGACTGGCCTTGTTCTATAATGGTTTCATAGGCTAATCAGATTCGGTTCCGGCAGGTGAATGGTTAAATGGTCATCTAACATGTGTCTATATATGGTTTGTTACAAATTAAATATCGAGGTTACTGCTCGCAGATTAACAATTTCCTTCGAAATTAAAATGTACCCAGAGGATGGAAATGGTGTAGATGGTTTTGTCACAGTAGCAGAAAACATGCTTCTTAAGTTCAGAGCGCATATTTTACCATTTGGAATGCACTATAGTAGTGGAGAAGGGTCCTCCACTACTCACTATATTGATATACTTGTATTTATAACAACTTTAACCAGTTAAGTTTTGTATTGATGAAAAACATAATTATACGTTTATTAGTAATTTTGTGAAGAGATCGATTTATATTGACTGACTTTGAGGGTAATCGACTTCCGTCTATAAATAATCCTTTTGTTTGTTTGTTCGATGTAAAGTGGATTCTATTAATAAATCGTGATTAGTCATTAGCAAATACATGTGGAGTTTGGAAAACCAAATTGTAGATAAAGATATGGACACTATAAAAACAGTGTTTAAGTATTGTTTGAATGTTTAAAACGTTCAAGAATATGGTGTTATGATATTTAATTTCCATATGGGATATCCTCTAACTACCAAAGGAACAAAGGTAAATTAACCAACAATTTTTATCAATTTAGCAGTATATACTTTTCTTTAAATAAAACATAATGATGTAACAGATTGATATTAAAATTTATAAGCATGATAAGAAAACACTAATGATAAGTCATCAACGAAAGTTCATTACAAAATCTAGGTCAGAGAAAACAAATGTATATTTAATGTATATGTAGTCCGGATAAAAACGTTAAGGTGATAAATTATATCTTGTGCCCCATGCCATTTTTATTATACATCATGTATTTAGTCAGTCATCAAACTTCGGATCTTTCCGTATACTTCCGTAAGTAACACCGGTTTATAAGGCAGTTTACGTCCGAATGACGGAATGTCTTGTATTAAGAGTATTTCTCGTTACGAATCTCTATCACTTTTGCCACATAGGTGGCACATGGAGGCCGTCATTTTTGTTCCATGTGACTGAAATTAGTTCCAATATGTCGCCATATTATTTCGATTAGCGGAAAATAGGCATCCTCGGAAGGACCAAATACCTCATTAATATTCATGACTTGAATCAGAAATGATAACACTATTATTTCAGAGGTTTATTGCTCAGCATAATAGCCGAGGATATCGTGTGATCCTATCTGCATTTTTTGAATTTTGAACACGTTCATTGTTAGAGTATGTAGATATATTACTTGTGTTTGACTCTCGAGTATTTTACATGGAAATTGATATCGATACATAGTCTTAACACTTAGCTAGAAATGCATTGATTTTACAGGTTTTATGACAGTGTTCAATATAAGTTCATGACTAACCGGCTATGTAAAAGCTTGTGGTTATATATGAAACCGAAACTAATAATAAAAGATATTGAGTCTCACGGACATTCAGTAATGTACTGTAAAGGGACGAAAATAATCAAGACATACTAGAAACATTCATTTAAAGGAAATATTTTGAATTTCCGACATCAACATACATATCGTATTGACGGACATATAAAAAAGGATCGAAATAATTTGAGGTAACAGGTAGTTTACTATTGTTTTTAACTGCAATAATTTACAGTTGAAATTATAAATATGTGTGTTTCGTCAATGCTCCTGTACATTTTAGGTGATCGTGCTGCGATTGTTAAAGGTATGGATATATTATTAAATATTCATTAAAAGGAAAGTGATGGTGTAAACGCGTTAGAAATATTACTTTTAAGAACTTTTATATAGATTTGCTATTTTGAAATTTTTTTCTTATTCCTGTATAATTTCAATGATATTTTTTGTTGATTTTCTTTTCGTTGTTGGGTTAGTTGTTGTTCTTTATTTGCTGTTGTTTTTTTTCATTTTTTTTGTTGTCGTTGTTATTGTTTTTTTTGTAGTTGTTCATGTTGTTGTTTTTAATTTTTGTTGTTTATTTTTAAACTGTTCAGGGTTAAACCTTACAAACAAGGACACAACTAACCATGGAAATTGCGCGAATGTCGGACTCAAAGTTTCATATAATATAACATAATTATCTATTAAGAGAAAATATGATAATAATAATAATAACAAGCATACCTAAACTACACATATATGAGTGCTTAGTTTAGACAAATTATGTACTGCTATAGGTAAATCAACATGATTCGACTTGTCATTCAATTTTTTAAAAATATTTTCCCTATAATAGTTTACTGGTAAGCTTGTTTAATAGGTGCAAGACATATTGCACCATTCATAGAATCTCAGGGAAAGACTCAATTTTAATCACACACAGGCTGAATTGAACTGAACACTTTGCTTTTGTCAATCAAGCGGTGGCGGGGGGGGTCTTCCTATTTCAGATTAACTGTTCAAATGTTGAATTTCTGTATCAAATTACCTAGAATACGAGATGATAGCAGAAAAACAAACAGTTAAGCTAAACTAGTCATTTAAATGTACACGCTTCTGTTCAACATAATATATTTTATGTTTTGACGTGAACACGCAAAATTCTATGTTATATTCCATTGCAGTTAAGTACTTCAATGCTGACAGCGTGCCTGGCTCTGGGTAATATTACAAAATAATGGATGACAAGGTAAGCATCCTTAAGCTCATACTCATAATTAAACAATTTATGTTTTTACAGTAAACTTGAGTTCGTTTCAAATCAAGGACTTTCAACCAAATGTATAACAAATATTTTATTTTTTTTTTGCAGAAAGGATTCTTTGTTTCTCTATACTTTCATTACGTAAAAAAATCTCTTTTCATAAGTGTTTGAAGACACCTATTTCTAAAATGGCAGGTGAATCAAATTAAATCAAAGCACAACGTTGTTTAGCATTTCTTGGCAATTTCTCTCTAAGATTACACATATTCTGATACAAGGTGTTGGTGTTTAAAATTTCAAATTAACGCAGAAGGCTTAATATCAATTGCACATATTATTAAGCCTAAAATCCAAATTACTGCTTAAAAATATGCAATATCTTACTGTTTTGTAATGCCATTTTTGATATTATGCACAAGATAATTGCATTATTCTAGGTGACAGAAATTCGGTCAGGTATAGACGAAATACGGCTGACTAGTAAATTCCTGTTAAAACGACTCAACCGGGTTATAGATGATGGCAACACAGAATGTACCTGGTAATAACATTACATTTTTATAGTCCCTAAAATCTGGGACATAATATAATTACATTACATTTTCATAGTCCCTGAAATCTGGGACATAATATAATTACATTACATTTTCATAGTCCCTAAAATCTGGGACATAATATAATTACATTACATTTTCATAGTCCCTGAAATCTGGGACATAATATAATTACATTACATTTTCTTAGTCCCTGAAATATGGGACATAATATAATTTTCATTACAATTGCATAGTCTCTGAAATCTGGGACATTATATTATTACATTTTCATATTCCCTGAAATCTGGGATATAATATAATTGCATTACATTTTCATAGTCCCTGAAATATGGGACATAATTTAATTCTAATTATTACATTGTCATAGTCCCTAAAATCTGGGACAAAATATAAATACGTTTCATTTCCATAGTCCCTAAAATCTGGGACAAAATATAATCGCATTGCATTTTCATAGTCCCTAAAATCTGGGACATAATATAGTTACATTACATTTTCATAGTCCCAGAAATCTGGGACAAAATATAATCACATTACATTTTCATAGTCCCTGAAATCTGGGACATAATATAATTACATTACATTTTCATAGTCCCTGAAATCTGGGACATAATATAATTACATTACATTTTCATAGTCCCTAAAATCTGGGACATAATATAACGGGACACGTAACTGGAGTTTAACGCCGTGGCATCTTTTCGTCCAATCAGCCGCACAGACCGCCATTTTGTCATTTTGATCATTGTGAAAGGGTATTTTTTGTCTGCAATAAATAGTTATTCTTATGATAGTTAATCTTATGATAGTTAATCTTACCATAGTTAATCTTATCATAGTCTTATTAATATAATTTCAGCAATTGCAATACAGAACCAATTGATAAAAGTAGGTAACTTTGAAAACAAGTTCTGCTATCAGCATATATAAGTTAAACAGAAAGTAAGTTAATCTTGACACGGTGCTTTTCGGACGAAGTCGCGCGAGAAAATACTACATCCGGTCGATTTTTCTTAGCGATTGGCTTAATAGATGAAAATTGGTTATTTCGTCACCAAGACTGCTAGACAATTTATATTATAATGCAACACTTATTTCTTTAATAATTGCTTACTTTGACTTAGAAAATTTGATTAAAGTAATAGTAAAACAAAAATGAAATTAAAGCACCAATATACTGGTCATCACAGACAATTGTATATTTCACTTATGAAGTTATGTTTAAATAAAAATACATGTTAACACAGATATAGAAAAACTTCAGTCACGCATAAATACAATTGAGGAAAGGCTCAAAACAAGAGATGAAAGTCATTTAAGTAATGATCTGAAGGTACTGGTTGACAGGTTTGACATGGTGGAACGTAAATTTCAAGACGAGACCGGTAATTTAAAACTTCTTCAAAATGGACCAACAGTCTCTGGTAATTCAAACATATGATGTGTTATTTATAAGTGTTTTTAGTGTATAAAGTTATATATTTCAGCAGATCTTTGGATTACGAAAAAAATATTGTTTATAGCATAATTAAAATAGCTACAGAAAACAAAAATAAAAAGAAACGTGACTGTATACATGTATTTCATGAAATAAAATGAGCGGAACATGCAACAAATAATCGGTAAACCAACAAGTATTAGGAGGGGAATTATCTTTTTTCCGGAATGATTTATTCTGATTTGTTGTACAACATGTGTGTTAAAAAAAAAACAATAAATTTCTGTTACAACTTATTCGAGAAATTACTATAATGTTATGAAAACAATGTTGTTTTTTTATTTATTTTTCTAATAAATTTTTTCATTACAAAAATCATTATATAAATAAATGTTAAAAAACTCATGTTTGCCCTTTTTCTAAAGAAAATACATACGTTTCTGAACCATAATGTGCCTTTTTCATCCAAAAAACTGTCATATTTCATTGCATAATGTTTACAACAATACTACTACAAAAATATTTATTATACCTTTTGTTATCGACACAGCAACGAGTAAATCCAAATCAAAGACTAAATCAGAACCTTATGATAAAGATAAAACTGCCGATCAAAAACATGATGACACCAATAGAAAGAAGAATCTAATAAATCACGATGAAGGCGACCCACTAACAGCAGATCCAAAGGGTCAAGGTCTACATAAACATACCAATAGTTTTAAGTCTAAGTCAGCACCGCCTGAGGGTGATAATGCATTTAACAGAATGACAACCGCAGAGAAAAACGATGCTACAAAGACTAAAGAAAAACAAAAATTAAACGATGATAAAAAGTTTAAAGAAAACAGTTTGAGGAACATGGAAAGTAGATCTGGACTTTATAACAACCGAAGCAACGCTGGAGAAGGAAATAAAGGAAATAGAAAAAGGTAATAATTGATATAATTTCCCATTTCGTGTACATTATCAATGTAACAACTGATATAATTATAAATGAGTGTTAATCAATTTAAAATAGTTAGTAAATAGGTTATACTTAAATGAAAAAGTTGAAAATAAATAGATTGAAAATGACATTATGCCCATCCAAAAGTAAATGGTTAGTGAACAGGCAAAAAAAAATGAAAATAAACTTGACATTTTGCCATAATTTTGCCAATATTTTAATATGAAAAAAAAAATCAATAATCCAAGTGACCAATGAACATTTCTAAAAATATCGTTCAGAATATAACGGAAACGCTCAGTTCTTAATTCTCAATAATTAAAAAGTGTTAATAATTTAGATAGTTTTTAAATTGTATCATAACTATTTTTAATTATCTTTTGTCATTATTGATCAATACCATTATAATTTCCAGTCTTTTGAAATATATGACAAATTCATCTTTAAAAATTTATGACAAATTCAATTCAATATGACAGCGTATAAAATGGACATCGTGTCACGTAATTAACGCCATTAGCATGATGCTTGTCAGCTTAAGTTCTAAATTCAGAAGATTCAGATTTTTAAAAAAAAATTTTTTTTGCAAATTTTACAAATGTAAGTTTCTTAATTTGTATAAGGTGATATTTTTCAATCACTTCTTTATCAATTGCAGCAATGTTCCGTTAAAGAAGCCAAACTTCATGGTACCTAAACAGTCAGGTATTATATTTGTCTTATGTCTAAATCGTAATTTCTTGAAGTCATATTTATTAATGTGGCATTCACAATTTGACTAAAGTTATGACCTACTTATTTCTTAAATGCAGAGCGTTATTTAGAGCTGATTTTAATTAGATTGGTGGCATTCACTAACACAAACTTTTGTTATTGAAACAAATCAAGTATTAGACAATTATGGTGGTGTTCCAGGAAAATGATTTATACTTCATTTAAATGTAGCGGCGTCTCCTTCTTCTGGTATTTCATATTTGCATTTATATCTTATGTATTTACGATGTGTATAAGGTCCATTTTGCTCAAATTTTGAATATGTAAATTAATAATTGTTTGTGAAGTTATATAACTAACAACAAAATAGAAATTGGTTTGAAAATCATATCATAACAGTCATACTTCATGACATTTTTTAAGAATAGCCGGCATTTTTAAAGGTTTTCTTTTCCGTTATTACACTTTCAACAATACATTATGATACACTTTGTCATCCAAATTTCAATCTAGTTAATTTCTTTGTCAAGCACGCAATTTAGCATGCATTGTTTTCCTGTAGTGCTGAACGAATAATTCACAAATGTGTGCCCAATTCGTATGAACTTGTCACACACGTGTGAGGAATTAGAGCGATTTTTTCACACATGTGACGAATTCGTTTTTGTGAATATTGAGGTTCAACATAGCTTTATATAACATTTTAGTGATAATTAAAAATCATATAGTTCCATATAACATTTTAATGGTAATTCAAAATCATATAGTTTCATATGGAACATTTTAGTGCGGCTGATAAAACAAGAAGCGAGGCTGGTTTTTGACAGTGAGAGACACTGGCGATCAGTGGCCCAAGATGAACTTGATAACTGTAAGTGTAATTTTAGTGTAATATTTTTAACTACTTATAATGATGATAACCATTGCATACATGTATATTTAAAGAAACTCCACTGAGGTCCAAACGCCAAAAACATAAAATTTGAATTTCTTACATTGATCAGCCGGGGCACTTAAAACAGACAGATATGCAAAAGAAAATAAAGAAATATACTCAGAAAAAAATGAAAAATGGTATTTTGTGTTATATTTTGCAACCGACTTGGGTCAATCTTGGGTCAGTTTTCACACTTTGTATAATTGTTCTGGAAAAAAAGAGTGAGCGAATGATCTGAATATTTTGCAAACAAGTTATTGGTCTAGACCTACATTAAATGTAATATTAATCCCGAAAAATTATTTCCAGTTCCGACATGTCATAAAACAACCCAGTGGAGTCCCTTTAATATATATCAACATAGAACTGGCCATGTATTATAACATATTGTTGAAGTATATATACACACATGTGCAATCTATATAAAACTGTTTACGTACATAATATTAATTAATACAGTTTGTTTACATACATGCGAATACTGTCTGTTAACGAACATATTATTACAATATATTTACGTTCTTGTGATTGCAATTTATTTAGTACATCTGATTACAGTGATTATCATAGTTTCATTCCGTACATACAATTCGAGTTGATTACATGCTCAAGATTATAGTTTGTTGGTAATTTTCAGATCGTTGCCGTTATATGCTTCTTGAAGATGTATTCAGTATTTCCCTGGAATAATCTAAAAGTAGGGCCCGCCTCAGAGGATGGACGATGCTCGAAGTTTAAAAACCGACTTTTTGACAGGTGTTTCTAAATTGAAACGGCAGCCCAAACGTAAAGCTAAAAATCGAAAAACATGTAATCCAGGGTTTTTCGTTGCATATATTTAGTAGACGAGGGGTTGACATGATTGCTAAAGCGTTTGAACGCTAATGTATGCACTTATATGAGAATCAATATTTAGATGCGTTTAGAAATAGAAGGAGCATCGAAACACCATACTATGTGAGTTGTACGATGGGGCATAGCCCCGAGTATAGACCTTTTTATAATACGATTTTCCATAGCAACGAATGTTGCATTTCGCGCATGCGCATTTTGCGTAGGGCAAAACGCAATAACGATGTCTACAGTTAATTAAACTTTAAGGCTTTAATAGATGCAATTTCATGTTATGTCATAGCCCCGAGTATAAATCAGATTGCAGAGTGTTTTGATGTTCTATCTCTTTTGTATCAAAGACAAAAATAATAACACTTTTCTTAATATTAAACCCCAGAGAAAAGTTACCATAGTACGAGCATATGAATATGACTTCTCTATCATTATCTCTTTCCCGTTAACCCCAGAAAAAATGAGCGAATGAATGAGCATGTTTTAAACAGACAGTGAGTGGGGGTAACTAATACCTACACTCCAGTTAATTAACACACTGTGCATGTATTGGTATACGATTTAACTCTTACACGTTTTCAATTGTTAAGTCTCCAAACTAAGATACAAGATTCGACCATGCACATGGTACCTTATGTGTGCCATTAAATGGCAAGGACGTACGTATGCGTGAATCGAAATATAAGTAACTAAATATCTTAAAATAAACCAATATACTATTTCTGTGAAAACTTGTCTCATGGCACATGTTTGTCGTGTGCGTATATATCCATTTATTAAATCTAATCATAGTTGAAAATATATATTTATTTCATATGTTTCATTTACGCATAAGGAGGTATATATGAAAAATAATGCTTTACAGTTGAATTTTTACATCATTTCAGGTCTTAAAGATATGTCAAAGTCTCATTCGAGAGATCTATACACCGAACATGTAGCTTTGGTAACATTCGGGCACCAGACGAAAATTCAAGTTGGATACACAGCTGATTACAGAGATATTGAGAAAGACCTTGGTATAGTGGCTTATTGTTACCCCAATTTTACAGTAATTTAAAGTATAGTATAGTATAGTATAGTATAGTATAGTATAGTATAGTATAGTATAGTATAGTATAGTATAGTAATAGTATAGTATATAGTATAGTATAGTATAGTATAGTATAGTAAGTATAGTATAGTATAGTATAGTATAGTATAGTATAGTATAGTATAGTATAGTATAGTATAGTATAGTATAGTATAGTATAGTATAGTATAGTATAGTTATAGTATAGTATAGTATAGTATAGTATAGTATAGTATAGTATAGTATAGTATAGTATAGTATAGTATAGTATAGTATAGTATAGTTTCCTCAAATATAGTCATATGCAAATTACTGATCTATTTTTGCTTCTGTTGCATTTTTGGCAATTACTACTATTTTAGTGATTTAGTATTTCGTATGGAAGTCAAAATACTACTTATAACAAATAATTTCACTTTCAGTAATATTTTCTGCTGGTGAAATGCATCTAACATGTTCTAAATCCGTTGTTTAAACATTATATAACTCGTGTTTACCCTTTCTAAAGAATGAAAAATATATTCCTTTCTGAGGCGTGATTGGCCTTTAAGTATATCAATGGTAGTCGACACAAAGTTTTAAGCCTCATCATTTTAAATGACGTAATTTTGTTTTTGTTATATAATTTATAGGACTTACATTTAAATTGTATAAGTTGAATCATAATATTTTGTTTGTCTATTTTTTTTCCAGTTTCGTTTATTTGATCGGGTTTTTGTATTTTCTGATCGCAGATCAGGAAATACAATGCTGACATTCAATCTCTGGCACAGCGCTTCACGACAAACCTAACAACAATTAGTTCTAAAAACAGCTTAAAACTAGCGATGTAAAAGAAAGAAATATTCTAATTTTGTTACAAATATCCAACAAATAACAACGCATTCAAAGTTTAAAAGTAGCGTTGGCTTATAGAATTGTCAATAAATGCACAATCACAAATTACGCGGATGAATATCATTTTAATCAATGGAAATGCTATTTTCAGCGATGTCGATTACCGAATACTTCAGAGCGTATTACACAACTAAATCTGACTGTCGAGTAGTGGAGTATATTCATGTCGGACTGTTTTCGCGAGACTTTCGCTAAATTATTTACATCAGTGTTAAACAACAGGTTTATCGTGAACAAAATACGTCAAATTAATAAGGATTACAAACCCTAAATGGAATTTCTAAATTAAGAATTATTTGATTTTATTCATAACTTCCACGTTGCGCTCGTTTTGGGTGTGAGAGGTCTGGGGTTCAAATCCCAGTCGAGGCATCTATTTTTTTTATATATTCTTTAAGTGTCTTTTTAAGGAAGTAGTCACGATATGCAAGGATAAAATGTGGCTGTCATAAAAAAATGAACATAAATAAGTTTTTGATGCAACTCTAGTCATGCAAAATTCTGTATGTATCAAACTAAAACTGTTATAGTAAAAATTTAAATGCAGTCGCTGCATCTCGGTGTCCTGCAAGATGAATTATAGTATAAAAAAATAAACGTATACAGGAAAATACATACAGATATACAGTACGCTTTAGATTGCAAAGATCAGATAATACCACTGACAGAGCTTGCAGCCCTTTGATTAATTTAACTCGGGGTTCAAGAAATTTAAATGTACAGATTTATGGCTTTTTTCATCTTTAGTAAATTTTTAATTACATAATCATGATATAGACGAAATAATAAAGATATTGGATTATTTGTCGGTGTACAAAAAATCAGGATTTAGACCGTATTTGTTTATTGAAAATAATAAATTTACGCCGATTTAAACAAAACATTCAAATTTAATTTTAATTTTAGATGAAACAAAGCTCGGAGGACCGACACAGATGTATGGTGGATGCCTTATGGCACTGGCAGCGGCGTGGTGTAGTAGACGTAAGTAAAAAAAGTTGTTAATATTTCAATATCATATTTTACACGAATTATATACATGTATTATATTCTAAATTCCTCTGGTGTTATATTTTAAATTCATCTGAAATATGATTTAAAAAGCGGTAATGATACAATTATCAATGTTTTCATATATGGTACTATTCAATATTTAACGTATGTTTGGAATTTAGTATCTGTTGATTGTTATATGTAAGAAACATTGTTGCCATAGGAAATCTTACAGTCCGACCTGACGAAGGGAATAAATGCCTGTATCATTCTCGACGTATAAAAAGTTCTGCCTCCGCCGGTGCTAGGAGGGAGGCATGGACGGTAACTTGCATATACCAACATCGTCCATGAACAGGCATAATTTAGTATTTTCAATTTTACTGTGCTGGTTGACCTTTTAATTTTGCATTAAATTTGTGATTTAGCAAAGGGAGTGCACCAATATAATATACTTTATTTTCTGTCAGAAGATCCACAGAAGTACCGGTATTAATCAAAATATATCATTCGAAAGTTAAATTCCAATTTCACAATTTTGCAGACCAGATACAACACCTCGATAATAGTTCTAATATATTTACGAAGATTATATTTGTCACGGATGGTCGACCAACAGAAGACGATTTGATAGCTGGACCTGATATTGCAGATTCGAGCAAAGTTGATGACGTAAATATAATAATGAATATAATTATCTCTATACATGTATGATTTCTTATTACTAGATCAGATAAGTAACAACTGGAAAAAAAACAAACTTTTGGACTGCCATGTTCTTTAAAATTCAACGATTTAAAGACCATCTTTAACTGCGCCCGGCGGATTTATTTTTCGATTTTGTGTTATACGCTCCTTTTTCAGATTACAAACACACTATGCGTGGTAACTTGTTTGATAAGCAAGAATAATGTCTACCGTATAAAACCTCTTTCAATAGCTGTTCTGTTAATATTATTACTATCTGAGAAAAAAATCCAATCATGGATTGTTCATTTTATTTTTTAGACGAAAGCAAAGATATTACAAGAAATGGAAAGACTAAGGAAAACTCATATGGATTTGTTTTTTGTACCAGTTGGTAATTCAGATGTGGTACGTATCAGCCTGTCATTTTACCTCCCTTTGGCTAGTATTACGTAACCGTTGTACAAAGTTGTCCCGTACTATATCTCGGGGTCGTTGTCTAGTTGTGTAGTCTTTGTATGTGTGTATTCTATTTTAAATGAGGGACTATCAGTCCATTGAGGCACAAACAGTTGTCGAGTACGAGTTCATTTTGCTTAGCTATAAATCTTCGGCCGATGTCCTGTGCCTTCTCTACGACGTGCACGTATCGAGGGGAAGAGAGAAAGTGTTTATTCTTTCTTTTCCATGACATGCACGTGCCGAGGGAAGAGATAAAGGTTTTAGTCTTTCGGGACTTATGACGATTAAATATTTGTTAAACCCTTGAAATGGGCATGAGAGATTTTCCACTTATCCATAACACTTATCAGCAAACCCAATCTAACCGAGTCTGCATTTTATTGTAAATGTGTTGTTTTCATTTTCTTTTTCCCGGGGGATATCCCATTTCAAACAGTATCATTTAGTAGAATTGATTGTGTTTCGATATTCTCATGAGACAAATGACGTCAAATATGACAATTGTTTGACTTTAACGTCCTTATATTGACAAAAAGCTATAACTCTTCATTGAATTGATGAAAAGTCCAGACAGTAATATGTATGATATTTGTGGAATTTAGGATTTTCACAAGACAATGGCGGCAATTTCAGACGGTGCGGTACTTGACTGCAGACAAGGAAGAAGGTTGGCGAGAAGACAATATTTAACCGTATGTATTTAAAGATATTGATGAATATTGTGTAACATGTAATTATATGCCCAGTAAAATATATTCTTGTATATCAAACTGGTATTTCCGTTAGTTTTACCCATGCTGGGATGAGTTGTGTGTTGTACAATGGCACGCTTTAGATGACGATATTTTACCGTTATGATTGAAATAATTCATTCCGCTGAGAGAAAATAGTTCCGGGTGAAATGACAAATTTCCATGAACAATTATTTTATTAACGTAGTAACGTAAAGAATTTAAAATATAATGCAATATTGTAGAATATGCAAGAAAAGTACCTGATACATTTGTATATGTTTGCGGTTCGGATCGTAATATCCGTCCCTAGGGAACCCGCCAATTGGGCGGTAACGAGGCTTTCCGCAACATATGACAGATATTATTAAACTGTTATGATTGCTAAAATCTTACAATTACAACTAAACTTTTCGGTGGTCATCAGTACCTTTCAGGATCATTGATCCTAGCACTTTTAAGTGTTTAAAAATGAGTACCGCTAAGGCGTGAGGGATATGTTGCACTTAATCATTATTCCCTCATGTACAGACTCACGCAAACCGGATCTGCAATTTTCATGTAATCTTGACGTGATTAATGGTTCCCAGGGATCACATTTTGTCCGGATTTCATTCACCACTATCGCCCATGCCATGCTCATTAATACTGAACCTGCAACAACTTTTTAGCTCACCTGAGCTTGCTTAGGGTGAGCTTTTAGGATCATTGAATGTCCGTCGTCCGTCGTCTGTCGTCCGTCGTCCATCCACACTTGTTCGTTAACACTCTAGCGGTCACATTTTTGCCTCAATCATCATCAAACTTTGTCAGGATGCTTATCTAGTTGATAGCTCGAATGAATTTGAACATGGATCATCTCTGATGAAAAACTAGGTCACAGGAGCTAAAAATAGAAAAACCTTGTTCACACTCTAGCTGTCACAGTTTTGCCTCAATCATCATCAAACTTGGTCAGCATTCTTCTGTAGTTGATAGCTCGGATGAGTATGAACATGGGTCATCTCGGATGAAAAACTAGGTCACCGGAGCTAAAAATAGAAAAACCTTGTTAACACTCTAGCGGTCACATTTTTGCCTCAATCATCATCAAACTTTGTCAGGACACTTTTCTAGGAAATAGCTCGAATGAGTTCGAACATAGGTCATCTCGGATGAAAAACTAGGTCACAGGAGCTAAAAATAGAAAAACCTTGTTAACACTCTAGCGGTCACATTTTTGAATCAATCATCATCAAACTTAGTCAGGATGCTTGTCTAGGTGTTAGCTCCAATGACTTTGAAACATGGGTCATCTCGGATGAAAAACTAGGTCACCGGAGCTAAAAATAGAAAAACATTGTTAACACCCTAGTAATCACGTTTTTGCCTCAATCATCATCAAACTTGCTCAGGATGCTTGTGTAGGTGATAGCTCACATGAATTCGAACATGGGTCATCCCGAATGAATAACTAGGTTACCGGAGCTAAAAATAGAAAAACCTTGTTAACACTCTAGCGGTCACATTTTTGCCTCAATCATCATCAAACTTGTTCAAGATGCGTGTCTAGGTGTTAGCTCCAATGAGTTCGAAACATGGGTCATCTCGGATGAAAAACTAGGTCACCGGAGCTAAACATAGAAAAACTTTGTTAACACTCTAGTGATCACGTTTTTGCCTCAATCATCATCAAACTTGGTCAGGATGCTTGTGTAGGTGATAGCTCACATGAATTCGAACATGGGTCATCCCGAATGAATAACTAGGTTACCGGAGCTAAACATAGAAAAACCTTGTTAACACTCTAGCGGTCACATTTTTGACTCAATCATCATCAAACTTGGTCAGGATGCTTGTCTAGGTAAAATCTTGAATCATTTTGAACATCGGTCATCTCGGATGAAAAACTAGGTCACAGGAGCTAAAAATACAAAAACCTTGTTAACACTCTAGAGGTCACATTTTTGACTCAAGTGTCATCAAACTTGGTCAGGATGCTTGTCTAGGTAATTGCAAGAATTAGTTCGAACATGGGTCATCTCGATGAAAAACTAGGTCACAGGAGCTAAAAATAGAAAAACCTTGTTAACACTCCAATGGTCACATTTCTGACTCAATTGTCATCAAACTTGGTCGGGATGCTTGTCTTGGTAATTGCTCGGATGAGTTCGAACATGGATCATCTCGAATAGAAAACTAGGTCACAGGAGCTAAAAATAGAAAAATCTTGTTAACACTCTAGTGGCTACTTTTGTGATCCAAATATCCTGTTAATTGGTCTGAAAGTTTGTTTTGATGCTTGTCTAGGTCATTGCTCGGATGAGTTCGAACATGGGTCATCTCGATGAAAAACTAGGTCACATGAGCTAAAAATAGAAACATCTTGTTAACACTCTAGTGGCTACTGTTTTGACTCACCTGTCATGAAACTTGGTCATAATGCTTGTCTAGGTAATTGTTCGGATGAGTTTGATGGGTCAGGTGAGCGATCTAGGGCCATCATGGCCCTCTTGTTTATTACTTTGCGGTGTTGTACGACCTCAAGGGTAACAATGTTTTGCCATTTCAATGTTATCCGGCAGCGTTTCTTACATACCGCTTTTCCTTGTTACTCTTTTACTCATATATTACTATTATCATTTTTTGATTTTTGATCATTATTCATAATTGAGATACTAACTGATTTTTTAAAACGTATTTGAAGATCATTTTTGTCGTGACTCAATTATTTTTAAATTTCAGACACGCTTGCTAGATCCATTAGGCCTTATTGCTGGCACGCAGACACGTGGTTCTGATTATGACCTTTCCAGCGAAGATAAGGTAATTATCAATACAACAGACACCTAGACTCTGTTGGAACCGTTTAGACACATTAATACCGTTATTGTTTGCATATTAATGTTTTTATATGATACTTTTTGATGTTCATGTAATGTCCAATCTTACTGGCGTTCCAGTTATGCAAACATTACATTCGGCATTTGAATATTCGATCCGACTTCGGTTAAGTTCGTCATCTTTACGAAGAGAGTTTTAAAGTTCAATATATTATAGCCATTTAGAATGTCTAAATCTTTAACATGTTTGATATGGTAGGACATATAACGACTACCGTCGGCAAAGCTATTTTTCGAACATTCTATGGTAAAGCTGCATGTCCCGAGATGCGCCAAAATAATTCATTGGTAAAGTCTGTCACCTTTACGAAGATTCTTTTGAAATTCAATATACTACAGCCAATCCCATTAAGAATGTCTAAATCTTTAACACGTTTGATATGGTAGGACATATGACGACTACCATCTGTAAAGCTATTTTTTAAAGCTGCATAATCCCAGATGTTTCAAAATAATTCAAGAAAATTAAACTTGAGAAAAATGTTCCAAGGTTTTAATAAAAGTGAAAAGGATTCAATATTAATGACTGATGTTACAGTATTTATTACCATCTTTCTGCTGCTTGACTAACACAGTAAAGGCTATTGTTGCATATTTTGTGCTCCTTTTGGCCGCTACCAATGTGTAAATTACTGTCTTTGTTCCCTTCATAATATTTTACTTTTACACGCCAATGTTTTTTCTCTATGAATCGGTAAATATCGACTAATGTCTGGCGTCTGGCGATATCGTAATAAAACGCCGGAGATACTTTCGCCCGCTGTCTGCAGGTCTATTTCTAGTGGCGTGAGAGTGTGTTTTCTACTGTGACATCAGAATTTGAGGATACCAATATGGCGGCTCGTTTAAATGTTAAAAGAATTATCCTTTCCAAAAATGCTATTACTAGCCGTTCAGCCGAGTATTCGAAAAACATTTCATCATATAGACTCATTCCTGAACAATAGAGTAAATGTTTTTTTCTGTATGAAAAATACTCCGAATACGCTTTACCCCGCAGGAGCCTACCACACTGGTTTCGAGCTTCGTGTATGAAGTTAGTATTACAATTCAAAACATAGGTAACCCGTCAAAAACGTGGCAGATAGCGTGCCCCGTAGGCGCCCCGTTTTTGAGATCTTTTGTCGGCCATTTTTAATCATGTGATATTAAATTCCCCATTCTGATTGGCTTAGAGCAGGCGGTGTACCGGTAGAAATGGTCAAATTGTGTTATTCGTATATGTCGCCACTAAAGTATGGAAGAATGTAAAAGGCTTTAGTAAAACAATTATATATTCATTTTCTATAGGAAGATCTGATGAATATACAGAAAAGTGCCAAACGACATTATGATGAAAATGCCAGAACATCAAATAGGCCCGACAGAGATACTTATCACGAATCCAAAAGCAAGACATTGCCTCCGATTGGCAGCCGAGTACGGAGAGGTCCGGACTGGCATTATAGACAGCAAGATAGCAATGGCCCTGGAACGGTCATAGGGCATGCTGATAACGGTAAGTCAAACAGATCAGTTCTACATTGTTCTGAAGGAACTGAAAATAATTTTTTTCGAGGTTTAATATTCGATTTGATGTAGGTCTAGACCAAAAGCGTGTGTGCAAAATTTCAGATCATTTGCTCCAAAATAATAAATCTAATTGTGCCAAATTACCCAAAATTGAAAAGCGTTGGAACGGTTTTGTTTTCCAGTTGATCTATGTAAGAAATTCAAATTATATGTTTTTAGACTTTTTGACGGAAGTGGAGTGCCTTTAATATAACCCCTTATAACTAAAATCATGCACGGAGGGGCACTTTAGGTCTTTATCTATCAGTAAAGTTTGAAAGTCGCCACATGACCTTTAGTGTGTTGGTGGACGTAAACCCCAACTACAAAAATTAAAAGTATAAAAGTATTAAATAGTATAAAAGCATTTTATTGCTTTTGATTTTTAGACTAGTTTTTGTTTGACTGTTCGGTTACGGTGCACCGACACAGTAAAAATGAATGGGTCATATTGAGCCGAAAAAGTAAAGATGATTTTGGCAAATCTCAGGAGTTACAAACTTTAAAACAACACAATGGGTCAAAACCACCTCATCTGCGGTAGCTAAGAGATGCATAGACTCCAGTTCTTCAAACCCGTTTAGTCACCTCTTATTGTACTCTCCTGCGCATCGGTCGAATGTTTCAATAAGCGTGAGTGCATTCAGTAAGCTGCGAAGGGAGCGTACTCTTATGGTCACGCAGGGATAAACAGTGACTGCTTTTCTTAAGCCTCAACAATTAAAGGTGACCCCTCAGCCATAAGGGGAATATAGACTTTTAAAGCGGGCCCGGGCTTTGACTTGCCCGGCTATAGACTACATGTGTATATTTAAAAGAAAATCAAATAAAAACAATTAAAGAATACATAAAATTCTATACCTATCAATGAAATTTTCAGTGTCAGTTCTAGTCGGGCGGCGCCATTTTCAATGTTATTCAATGATAATACGCGGGATATTCCGGTAACAGACAATCGCAACTTTTCGGATAAATAATACTCAGTATTCCGAGTGAAAACGGAAGCGGTTTATATAATACCGAATGACACTTTTAATACGGAAAAATTAACTTTTTAACAGACTTCCCCGTTCATAGGCTTTGCCTAATTTCATATTTCACTATTGAGGGCAAGGGACATTTATAGAAAGGTTATCTTGACCAAACAATTTATAAATCAATTGACACTACCTGTCTCATATTTCATTTGCTTGCTATGTTCTCTATGCCTTTAGTCTGTAAATGCTACAAATATATAACATACTATAATATGAGTGATGTATCAATGCGCTTTGTTTTATTTCTTCCTATTAAAGATCAACAGCTTTGGATAGAATGGGATGCAGATGAAAACCAAAATGTTTATATGTATGGGCCTCTAGGATATGACGTACTTATTGTGGATGAACCCAGAAAACTTAAACCAGGGGAGAAAATAGCAGTTGGTTGTAAAGTAGTACCTGGTACATATCTTTATTATAACATTTTATAATACTGCCCGTTTGTAACGTCACTTTTCATTGGATAATCTTGACGTTTATAATACTGCCCGTTTGTAACGTCACTTTTCATTGGATAATCGTGACGTTTATTATAACATTTCATAATACTGCACGCTTTTCATTGGATAACCTTGACGTTTATTATTACATTTTATAATACTGTCCGTTTGTAACGTCACTTTTCATTGGATATTCTTGACGTTTATATAGTTTTATATACACGACTGCTGTCCATTTATATAGAAATCTCACTTTTTTCTCTAAAAAGGAAGTTTGCAGTATTATAAATTCGTTATAAATATGTCTGACAGGTTATATGGCAGAATATAAACGATTTTTTGCAATATAACCCTTACCTGGCGGCTCGGGTTATATTTACAAACAACCGTTTATATAGGGTCATATAACATGTCAACAATCTTTATAACTAATAATATACACGACTGCGGTCAATTTATGAAGACTTTTCCCTTTAAAGAATGAAGTTTGCAGTGTTATAAATTCGTTATAAAGTTTTTGGACAGATGATATTGCTGAATATAAACGGTTGTTTGTAATAAAAACTGTTTCTATAGGGCCATATAACCTGTCAAAATTTTTTATATCTAATGTTATAACTGTTGTTGTCAAATATTGTTTTGCGTATTTTTGGGTTGTGCAAATCCAGAAATTATAGAACTTGACTTATTAGATATACTATGAATCAAAAATGATTGGCTAAGAAGAAAATTAGAAAATATTTTTTATAATATGCTGTTTGGAACAAAATATTTACTTTTTGTTTGGAATAAAAATATTTGGTTATCACTTTTATTGCTATAACATTTTAAGTTAAATGTTTAAAGGAAAGGACTGGAAAAACACTGATGGCAACGTAAATCTGGGCGTGGTTATTAAAGTAAAGAGAAATAAAAAGAAGGCGAAGGTAAGACACAATAAGTTCGGTAGGAGCGGTAGCCTTGTGGCTAAGGTGTCTGCCTGTCAACCTAGGGATCATGGGCTCGAGCCCTATATGGGGCACGACCGTGTTTCCTAGTATTTGCTTGTTCCAGGACGTGGAATCGATAGTTATTCAGATAAACTACACTCTTTTTTTATAATCATGCTTAAATAAACAGAGTTTCCTATATTAGACACGATGTGTCGTATATTTTCTATAAGGTTTATATAGGTAACCCGGTTTTGTTTTCAGTTTGGGCTTAATATCCTTTTGCTTCTTATTGCTCCCGAAGGATCTTTTCCAGATTATTTTACTTGATATCTTATAAATGTATACAAAATACTGAGACATGTAATAATTAACTAATTGCGTGGACGGCAGTTTGCAATTACCATTACTGTCCATGAAAAGGCTCAATCAAACCGAGCCTGCAACATTTTCAATTTTGCCGTGTTTGGCTTTCTTTAGGGATTCTGGTTTCTCTTTTTATAGGGGAAAGACAAAATCAAACGATTGATAAAAACGTCTCCACATACAGGAATAAGAAGGAAAAAAAATATAAAATCCTTATATTTTTAAAGAAATCTAGATTAAAAGAATGCTTTACTTACAAAGTATATTTTATGCTTAACTTAGGACGTTCAATTTGTTTAAAATGTATTATTAGTAGGGAGGGAAAAATGGAAAAACGTGCAGTTTTTTTATATGATATAAAGATTAAAGTAAGACAGAGCGATAGGAAAGTTGGTTCTTTGTTTGTTTTTTTGATTTTTTAAAATCGACCGACCGGTATATGACTTTAATAAAAATTTTGATTTAGCTCACTTTTACGAAGATTTTTTTACTTTACGTTTTTTAAAAACTCAATTTTGGGCTATGACTCGAACAAAAAAAAAGATTTACTTTTTTAATTTGGAAAATTTGACTTTGCATCCTTTTCCTTTTTTTGGTCCCATCGACCCATGTAAAAATTCACTTTTTTTATGCTTTTGGTTTTTGGGAGCCGGTTTTTTAAATCAAAAGAATTTTTTAAAAAAATTAAAAAAATAAGTTACAAAGAAAAATGATAATATTAAAGATCGTTTTAATTAAAAAAAATAATTTTTTTTTCTTTTTAAAGGCCAGAAAACCGTTTTAATGAAATTTAAAAGCAAAAATTTTCGAGTTGAATTTGAAACTCCGCCCCATGACATAGAAATTTGCTTAAACAAAAAAATAAAAAAATAAAAACTCAAATAATTGAAAAAAGAAAAACATTAAAATATTAAGGGGGCTGTTTGGGTACTTGCGCGTTATTTGTCCGTTTAAAGTCTTTTTCGTCCTATTTTACGAACACCCTAACGGCATGTTTTATAGCGCTATCATGTACAAAATTTTCAGATTTTTTTATTAAAATAGTAAAAAGTTTAATTTTTCCCCCCTTTTTTACAGATATAAAATAAATATTTCAGGTTTTATAATTTTTCCAAATTTTTAAGTTTTAATGGTATGGTGAAAAAATCGTTGGGCGGGCAAAAGGAAGAAAAAAAGCCCGGGGACAGCTCCTGTTTTAAAAAATTTTTGGCCCCGTTCAAATGTTTTTCCTTTTTGTTGAAAAATTTTCATTGAAAGTGTTTTTACATTTTCTAAAATAATTGACAATACATAGGCAATATTTTTTGGGAAGAAAGGACTGGTTTTAATTCATTTGACATAGGTATCATATTTATATAATTCCCGATGGAAAAAAAACGAAACAAAACAAACAACAACAACAACAATAAAAAACTCACAAAAACTGCTTCAAAAGGAAAAAGCCATCTATTGAAGATATTCAGATCAAACAACAATAATAAAAACAACAACTTTATTCTTTTGATTGTAATAAAATTTTCTGACGACACAAGTTGCTTTAAAAATTACTTTTACAGTAAGGAGTCAGTTTTTATTGTGTGATTTAGCTTCTATCAGCATGTGAATTCAAATTATTTTGCGTTCATGGACTTTTGTAGCATTGTTAAAAATGGACAGTTTTGCTTGTTCTTAAATTCGTGGTGTCTGTTAATGCAGAAGTAAAACGCAAAAAAGTAATGTAAAGAATCATAAGTAGATGAAATTAAATTCTGTTGGATCCTAAATTCGTCGTTGATTGACCTTTCCACTCCCTCTCCAACCAGTAGTTTTCAAGTTATGCTCCGGGCAAGGAAAAGTAACAAAGGGTAGTTACTCTGTAATTAGTCAAAATGGAGGTATGGTTCTTGTGCACTGCACTTCCTCTCAATGTGCTTGACCATTGTATGAAGTTATATTGAATTCCAACTACTAATCTTCAAGTTTATAGTCCGGACAAAAGAAAGCAATGGAAAAAAATAACGAAGGGCAATAACTCTGTAATTACTTTAGATAGAGTTATGGTTCTTGTGAACTGCACTTTGCTTATAGTGCTTGACAATTGTATCCAGTTGTTCGAGTTGATAACCAGTAAGTGTCAAGTTATGCTACGGACAAGGAAAAATAACAAAGGGCAATAACTCTGTAATTAGTCAAGATGGAGTCAGTTTGGTTCTTGTGCACTGCACTTCCTCTCAATGTGCTTGACCATTGTATGAAGTTATACTGAATTCAAACCATTAGTCTTCAAGTTAAGCTCCGGACAAGAAAAATACAACGAACCGCTGGACCGACCGATCGTTTTTGGGGGTATAAAAATGATATTAATAATAAAAAAAATATTTAAAAACCAATATTTGTTTAAAAACCAAAGTACTTAAAAATATATTCTTTTTAAAAACCAAATTATAATTGGTTAAACCAAAGACAACGTATGTGAAAATGTTTTTTATTCTTTGTACCACGGATGAGGATGCAGAAATATAAGTCTATTTTAGACTTATACCAATTTTATAAAATTGGAAAAAGTAACTTCGAAAATTATCTTTTTAAAATGATAAAAATTTTTAGTTAAAATTCAATAGAAAAAACCACTCTGAACGAAAAAATTCTTAACATTTTATTACCTATTTTTTTAAATGAAACTTCGTTGAAGAACACAGATAGAAAAAGATGGTGCGTCTTTAAAGGTCCGGGAAAGGGGAAAAACAACCCTGTAAAATTTTTAGTACAGTTTTAAGCATAGGGTCAGCTACATATCGCATGCTGCAGACATACTAAAAAAAAATGGGTTAACATAAAATATGTCTTTTTGGGCAAGGTTCTGCAACATATATTTTTTAAATGAAAAATGCAAAGTTTGAAAAAAATCGGGGCAATGATTAATTTTAATTTAAAAAGTATAAATTAAAATCTAAAAATTTTCTTTTTCATACAAGCGAGTAATAAAAAGAGTATCCCACGGATCCAGAACACTAAAATTTTAAACTATATATTTTATCAAAGAATTTGTCCTTTTTTTAAATTTCTGAAAACCCTAGTTTCACAAAATTGCATGTTTTGCCAACCCCCGCCTCGTATTTTCGTAATAAAAATAAACCAAGAAGTAAACACTTTTTCACACTCATTTTTTATTATCTTCACACAAAATAAATAAATAATCAAAATGCAATTAAAATTCATAAAAAAAAACCCCTTACTTTCGGTTCTCAACGCATAGTTACTTCCTTTGCTCTTAATTTTTCTTCAAGGTACCCTCTCTCTCATTTTTTAAAAGATCGACTTATTAATAAAGTAATTAAATTTTTAAATTTTTTTTTAATGATTTTTCGTTTTAGAGCACGAGAAAAATGAATTATAATGTTTTCTTTTTTCCTCCACTACTTGTCCCCTTTATTTCCCGTTACTGGCCTTTAAGTTCTTATCATCACTTAATACATGTCAGTCTCTAGTTTCGCCCGCTTTTTTGGCTTTTCCGTTTTCGGAAAAAAATGAGTAGCAAAGATTAACAAGCATCAATGGATATGCCAGCCGTAGGGTATACGTACTTTTTTTCTTTGCGTTTTTTTTACAAATTCATCCCGATTTTGCACGCTCACCGCTGAGTACTGCAATCTCGCCAGGAAGTTAGGATTTTATACTCAGGTTCCTGCATAATGTGGCATCAATTTTCCTGCACCAGTAAATCTGGAAAATCGTTGTACATATATCCTCACTGTGTAGTGAAGTTTTAACTAGAAACTGATTTATATGTCCTAATTATAAGTTTTAATATCTTATTTAGAGAAATAAAATTGCTTTTTTTTAAAAAAAGAAAAGAAACCTAATTAACAGAAACAAAGCTAGAATAAGGTTATTTTATAATTATGAGTAAACATTCCTAATAATGGGAGTATGAACATGTATATAGGCTTTTTGTATCTACATTTTAGGACAATCAAAGTCCTACATGTAATAATGATTTTATAGCTCTAAATTAAAAGTGAGCAAGACCTTACTTAAAGTGCTTGTTGTTGTTATTGTGTTGTTAAAATGATAACATCTAAAACTCTCTTTGCAGTTTCTTCGGCCAGATTGAGCTGCCTTCGTTTGATACTGAGGTCAAGCTGCAGGTCATACTTGTGAACTTCCTAGACAAAATACCACTGTAAGTTCTCGTAAATAATGTAAGTTGTCTCTGCTGGAAAGCCTAAAATCATTACGCCTCCAAATTCATGCTAATTTTCATGAAAGTTTTTAAAATATACATGTATTTAATTGGAATTGGAAGTAACCAAAAAGGAAACAATTAACCCATTATTAGGGCCTTGCAAAATCACGAAAATCCCAAAAAGTGCAAAAATGCAAAATCCCCTTTAAAGAAACGCAAGTAAAATTTTTTTGAAAACTGAAAAAAACGGCAAAAATCGAATATTGAAAAATATTATTTGAACTTGAAACTTTTTTTTCCCTATACCTTAGACACTTTTTTAAAATTGTTTTTCTTGAAATTTTTGACCATCTGGGCTGAAGCTTAAATTGCACAACAATAGTTTTTTTTTATAATTTTTTTATAAAACATGTTATTTTAATATGGGGGTTATTTTTTTAATATTTTTTGATTATGAAAAATTTGTATTCATAAAACATCTGTTTATTAAAAGGGAATAATGGCATTGTTAAATTACTAATAATACTTAATAGTTTTTTTTCCTTAAATTAAAATTTACTGATATGTTTAAAAATTT